GCCAATAGACTTGAATCTAGAGTCAGGAATGACTACAGAGGATTGTTGCTTCCTATTGTCTTCTGTTCCTCAAATATGAAAGAGATTATGAACTTATACAAAATATTTAAAAGACAGTTTCTTTTACAATAGGAATGAGAGCTAAGACAATTTTTTTTTCTCCTAGCTCTATGATGTTTGAAAATTACTTAAAAAGAAAGAAATCCTATCATTTGTGACAAGATGGATGAACCTGAAGGACATTACGTTAAGTGAGATAAGCCAGACATAGAAAGACAAATAACAGATGATCTCACTTATATCTGGATTCTAAAAAGTTGAACTCATAGAAGCAGACAGTAGAATGGTGGTTACCAGAGGCTGGTGGCAGTGGGGGACAGGAGATTGGAGAGATATTGGTCAGAAGATACAAAATTGCTGTTAGACAAAATAATAAATTCAAGAAATCTATCACACATCCTAGTGATTGTAGTTAATAACAATATATTGCTATAAATATATTTACTAAAGGAGTAAATTTTAAGGGTTTTACCACAAAAAAATGATAAGCATGTGGCATAATGCATATGTTAATTAGCTCGATTTAGCCATTCCACAATGCATTCATATATTAAACCATCTTGTTATAAACCATAAATATATGCAATTTTTATGTATCAATTAAAAATGTAAAGGTCATTCTTTTTTTTAATTTTATTTTCTTTTATTTTTTATTGCATTTTAGGTTTTGGGGTACATGTGCAGAACATGCAAGATTGTTGCATAGGTACACACATGGCAGTGTGATTTGCTGCCTTCCTCCCCTTCACCTAATCTGGCATTTCTCCCCATACTGTCTCTCCCCAACTCCCCACCCCCAACTGTCCCTCCCCTGTTTCCCCCGACAGACCCCAGTGTGTGATGCTCCCCTCCCTGTGTCCATGTGTTCTCATTGTTCAAGACCCACCTATGAGTGAGAACATGCGGTGTTTGATTTTCTGTTTTTGTGTCAGTTTGCTGAGAATGATGGTTTCCAGGTTCATCCATGTCCCTACAAAGGACATGAACTCATCATTTTTGATGGGTGCCTAATATTCCATGGTGTATATGTGCCACATTTTCCCCGTCCAGTCTATCATCGATGGGCATTTGGGTTGGTTCCAGGTCTTTGCTATTGTAAACTGTGCTGCAGTGAACATTCGTGTGCATGTGTCCTTATAGTAGAACGATTTATAATCCTTTGGATATATACCCAATAATGGGATTGCTGGGTCAAATGGAATTTCTATTTCTATATACTCAAACTCCACTTAATGAAGCATTATTAATCTAGTGGAGCTAGTGGCCCGTATGATATTCCAGATATTACTGGTAGGAAAAACAGCCTGAAAAATCCACATTTATAATTTAATACTGTGCTTGTGATTTTTCTGAATAATATTCACTGAGTTGAAAGGCAATTGTGAGATTATTTAACACTCAATCTAGAATCTAAAACTAAATTCCTTTCTTAGTGTTCTTTTGTGTGTTTAAAACAAATGATGTTTTAACGTAATTTTCCGTAAAACTCACATTGTAATTGTAAAAGGGCACATCTTAAAAACTGGATTTATAGGTCCTAGTTCAGCGCTTCATTTAGGGAGACAATCTGTTTATGACAAGGCCTTCAGCTAAGATTGTAAAACAGCTTCTGTATAATCAATGAACCACAAGATGGCACCACTGAACAATTAGCTTATCTCAGGATGACTTGTAGGTTCTCTAAATAGGTGCCCAAGAACAGTGTTATACCTCTTCAAACCCAATATCAGTCACTTCTAGTGAATAGAATATGAAAAGGAAAAATAGTAACTTTATAGTGGAGAAACCTGGCAGGTATTACCTTAACCAAGTGATCAAATATAATATCACCATTGATCAGCATGGAGATACCATGTACTCCTGAAATGATGTGATAAAAAAAAGGGCATTTCACTTCTGTAATATTCTTCCCAAAAATTCATAACCCCAATCTAATCATAAGAAAACATCAGCCAAACCCAAGTTGAGGGATATTCTACAAAATATTTGACGAATACTCTTTAAAGTGTCACAGTTATGAAAAACAGGAAAGACTGAGGACTTGTCACAGATTGGAGAAGTCTAAGGAGACATGATAGCTAAATGGAATGTATGATCTGGATTTGGTCCTAGAAAGAGGACATTAGTGAGAAAACTGGGAAGTCAGAAAATATTTTATAATTCAGTTAAGAGTATTTTACCAATATTAATTTCTTCATTTTGACCATGTATCATGGCCATGTAAGATGTTAACATTAGAAGAAACTTTGGAAAGAATATGCAGGAACCCTCTGTGCTATCTTGAAACTACAAGTCTAAAATGATTTCAAAATAAAATTTTCGAAGTCAAGATACAGGGGGATCTCTGTGAAATGCTACCTTAACGGCAGCGAATTTCTATAATCTGTTGTCTGTATATGCCAGACTTCTATGGAAGCTTGTATAATGGTTTGGCATATTAACTCAATACATGGTGCCAAGTCCTGGAGTTTTATTCCTCTGCAGGTTCAGTGAGCACGTTTTTCAAAGTCAATATTAGGGTACATTGACAAAATTTGCACAATTTTCAAGTGTGAATCAATCACAGATGATGAAAGTATAACCGTGCTGTTTTTTTTTTTTTGTTTTTTTGTTTTTTTGTTTTTTTTCAGTTCTATGGCCATGGTTAGAATCTTTTAATGACGTTCAGTTATCTCACTAATGTGTCATAAGTATGATGCCTACAGATTTCAGACTTTAAAAATTTTGTATTTTACTGATGGTCAGTTAAACCAGATAACCTATGGCTATATTTTTGATAACCTGCTAAATATTTTGCACAAAATAATACTTGGCTCATAAATAATCTCTTAGAATCAAGGAAGGAAACATTGTAACTTTCTAAAGGGATGTGTGGAAATTAGTTTCCAAGATGTTGCATTTGTGCACAGAGGTGTAGGAAAAAATGTACTAGGAAGTGTTTGTGTAGATGATTATGAAAACTATGCTTTCTAAGTTACTAGGACTTAATAAATCAAAATATTAATATATATTTTTCCCAGAGATGTAAATACATCTGAAGAGTATCCAACATACTCAATAATTTTTATAAACTTGGATAAAGTTCAGTTGTCAGTATAATCCTACAAAAAAGAACAGTTTAAAACTGTTTTATTATAACTGCCCAGCAAAAGTAATCTGACTCCATCCAAACAGGCTGCTCCAATTAAAACAAGTGACAGAAGATAACACAAGCTCATATTCTTTTGAAAAATTTAAAAGAGGCTAAAAAGGTTGCAAAAATAATGATTGTTGTCTGATAAAAGAGAAGATTGTTCCTAGAACCTCATAGTACTACTTCATGGATTGATTCTTAGAAACTCTGCCTCATTTCCACTTCTCAAGTAAACTTGATTTTGTCTTTGCATTTGTTTCCCAAGTCTTTAGGTTGAACAGAGAGGCCTTGATGTTGGATTTTTATTTTTCCCTGATCAATCAATAACCTGTAACTTTTTCCTTTCCTTTAAAACCTCTAGTCTTCAGTGGTTGGCATGCTCCACCCTAAATTGCTCACCCGATTCTAGACATTTCCTTGTACCTTGATTGCTAGTCTCTGAACCCTTTCCCAAGTTAAACACATTACCTTGATCAGTTTTGATCTTTTTTGCCTTGTGTACTAGTTTCTTAGGTCTGCTGTAAAAAATTGCAACAACTGGATGGCTTAAAACAAATGAAATGTATTCCCTCAAAATTTTAGACATAAGAATTTCTGAAATTGAGGTGTCTGCTGGGCCATTCTCTCTGTGTGAAGTTTCTAGGGTGGAACTGTTCCTTGCCTCTTCTTGGATTCTGGTATTATCAACAATCCTTGGCTTGTAGTTTTATCACTGCAATTTCTTCTTATATTTTACAAGGCTATCACCCCTTTGTGTATCTTTGTGACACTGTTTTCAAATCTCCCTTCCTTTCCTCTTATGAAGAAACTAGACATTGACCAAGCAAATCCATTATGACCTCATTTTAGTTTGATTGCATCTGCAAAGACCCTGTTTCCAAATAAGGTCACATTTTGAGGTTTCAGGTGAACCTCAATTTTTGGGGGGATGCTGTTCAATACAGTACAGCCCCCAAATCAAACTTTCTGCTGAGAACCATCAGATACGACATTCTGTTGATTACACATAGTAATGTTATAGTGATTTTTTTTTCTATGAGTACAATTTGGAATATATCTAGAAGGTACCAGCCACAAAATAGGAAATCTGATTCCAAACCTATATGTTCGCCTTCAAAAATTACAAATCTGTAGCTTATACTTGCATTTAGGATAAGACTAAGCTCTTATAACTCACCATCTTTTCAATACGAGAGAATCTTCTAGAACTTTTATTCCTTTTAAAATATTTTTGGTTCACATGATTCAGGACATATTAATCAGTTTAAAAGCTGTTGAATTAATTATGAATCACTCTTACTAGTGATCACTATGGAGATAATCTATGGGTAATATTTTTGCTAACATACTAAATATTTTATGTGTGAAGAAGAATCCAGTGGAAAGAAGTCGGCATAGTACTACATAATCAATTGAAAAAATATTTAGTAGAACAACTCCTTCTTGCCATCTTCAGTAGAAAATTTTCACTTTTAATCTGAATGCTTTGGTGCCATGCAAACCTAGATTAAAGACACTAAGTAAGCAATAACTTTAAATTGGCAATTACGTCCACTAGTTACTACAGACATAAAAAAGCAAACTGTTCCATAACATTCCTTGAGTGTTTTGAGTGGAATGGTGATTTCTTTAAAATGTTGATAATTTAATATTTTTGTTTTCTATATAATACCATATATTTCATCTGTATATATATTTCATAACATAACGTATTCAACTTTAATTTTAATATTTTCTGGTTTTATTGCTTCTTGATAGCTCAATTACCTAGACAGCATTTGATGTTTATCACTATCCTGTATTTCAGGGACTTCATGAGAAGACTGGTGCGTTTACAGCTGTTAAAGTGATGAATGCTCGTAAGGTAGTATTATAACTTGCCTGTATTCTCTTCCCTTAGCAGACTGTGTTCTTGGGATAAACAGCTCAGAAAATACTGTATTTGTTTTAAAATCATTATATTATATAGTAATTATATTACTTTGGATTTATTATAGTCATTTTAATAGTATTTGTATTCATTAGTGTATTATATCAATTGCTTTATTATATATCCACATAAAACAATGCTTCATTCACAGCAGACGTTCCACATATTTTGGTATTCTATAAAAGTAAGGAAGATATCTGTATTCCTCTCTGTTTCTAGTTGATTATTTGTTTTCAGGGATAGCAAAAAAGAGATTGCCTCTAATGTTGGGTTAATCCCTCTGTGTTCCATCATATTATTTTCCCTCTCCAATGATTTCCTCTGAGAATTGAGGCCATTCTATTCTCAATGACAGGTAGAAGGAAGAAGGATGCACATTTTTCATGTATTTTCTGACAGATGAACAAAAGAGACAGTTTAATTGGCACCGTTCCTGATAACATTCATAACGTTGTGTCACGGTTCATAACATATTGTCGTAGAATTTGCTAGCACTGCTTTCTCTTCTTTTTCTTTAACATGAATACCACACTTTCTCAAGATAATATTAGCATGAACATAGCAAAGGTCAAAAAAATTTTACTTCACTGTATGCTAAAGGGAAATTTATGTTTGAAAACTATGCAGTCATTGAACTATTGTCAATGCCACAAACTGTTCGTTTTCCAATGTGTGCAGAAAGTGAATTGCTGAAGTTATTTAAAGAGTTGTGTACTTTCATGGCACATGTATACCTATGTAACAAATCTGCACATTCTGCATATATACCCCAGAACTTAAAGTATAATTTAAAAAAAAGAAAAGATAGGTGATTAAAAAAGAAGTCTGGTTTTTGTTTTGCCAGTAAATATCAAATGTTGCAAACCACTGTGAATTTTGAGGGATTTTGAGATTTTGTAGATTGTTTTGCCCCTACAATCCATGGCTTCCAAATAATAAAACTTCTACTTTTTGAGTGAAATGCTCTAAAATATTTATTTTCTTGTTTTAATAAACCTTGACATACATTTAACCTACATTTCAGATACTCTGACTTTTAAAATATTTAAAAATCATGTTCAATCCATGGGTGTTTAGTGTCAATTAACTGGTTTTGTAAGGAAGAAAAAGCCTTTACTGATATCAAATTGCAATTTTCCAATTATTACAGCAATTATATCCACTACCGTGAATTCATTGCCAAATTTCTGTATATCATAAAAATTTGATTTTTTAAATTGAAACTATTAGTGAAACTTGAAAGAGGAACAATGTTATCTTACTCTTCCATTTAGTGCTAAAGGAACTTAAAGTAGTTAAGCATAAATCATTTTTAGAGTCTAATAACATTTCATTCTTGGTTACAGACTCCCTTACCTGAAATAGGAAGGCGAGTGAGAGTGAATAAATATCAAAAATCTGTTGGGTGGAGATACAGCGTGAGTACTAAAAGTTCTCATTAATATCCAAGTAGTCTTTCCTTTCGTTTTCAGCTTTTAACTTATCCCTTTGCATTGTGTCATTATCTGTAGAAGATTGCTACTAAAGTGTTCTTTCCCGAAAATGATAACATATTTATATCTTTTAATATATTCACAATGATTCAATCATCTTATATGAGCACTAGCTTTTATCAGAGAGTAGGACATTAGGAGAAAAGGTCCCTTGAGTAGGAATGTATTGACTGTAGGTGAGGAATTGAATAAATTTACAGAGCATAGTGCCCTCTGGCTGAATAGCAACAACAAAAAAGGAGATAATGAGACCTGCAACAAATTTTGTGTAAAATTGGCCTTGGCAAGGTCCTTTTCACACATTTATCATGACATTCAATTCCTCACCTACAATCAAAACATCCCTACTCAAGGGATCTTTTCTCCTACGATCTACTCTCTGATACATGCTAGTGCTCATACATGATTATTGAATCGCTTTTTCTCCATTATGATTCTAACAACCATTACCATTGTGTTTGAACCAAATGAGGAATGTCCCCACTTTTTTTGTCAGAGCAATAGCAGGCAGAAAACAAATCGACCACTCAGCTCAAAGTCTTCAGACATCTGGTACCATATTTGAACACATGAAGGAATATGAACATGTTTTCTATGTGCAGCGTTTTGACTTTCCTTCAAAGCAATTTTTCTGATATTAACAATTCTCTGGATCAAAAATAAAACCAAGCAAAGATAATTCCTCTTTTTCAGTATCTGTTGGTGATCTATAAAATATTGTATGGGCCCAAAATTTAAATTTCTGTTCTTATCAATATATTGAGTTGATATATTTATTCCTACTTTTCTATCCTGCAGCCAGCTCTACATGGGATTCAAATATTTGTAGCATTTTGTGACTTAGTAAATATGTTCTCAGCCACATTAAAAATAACCCTTTAAATTAACAATCACATTCAGGAACTTTCTAGTTATATTAGAAAGATATATTGCTAAACAGCCTCATGACTCATATATTAAGTACTAGGCTCCTGTTGTGTTCATAATGCATGTTAGGAGACTAAGCATATCCAAAGGACCAGCTAAAACAAATAGTATCATGCTTTTGTAGCTTAGGCAGCCATGGAAGGTAAGGTATGAAAAATATAACTATTTCATTAATTCTGGTTTCATCGCACATTTGTGCTAATAAAACTTCTTTAAAGATCTATCCCAAGCCCTCTCTGGCACTCTTTCCCTAGAGAAAAGGATTTTAATTCTAGAATTGGGTGAATTTACAAAGAAAGTTCTGGCATCCTTGAGCTGCCTCTTCTTGACAAAACGCAGGGTATTCAGGCCAGTCTGCGATCAACTGGCCCTAAGCCAGGAAATGCTGTAGCATCATATTACTGGAAGATGTGTGAGAGTTTTAAATTACTCGCTTGACCTGATGGATGTAATGTACTTATGTGTTTCTCACAAGCTCAGCTTCCTGTTAATTCAGGGTGGCAAACAAACTAATGCTTTCCAAACATATCTGATCTTCATTTATTTGTTTTTGGGGACTTTACATTTATGTAAGAAATCCACTCTTAAAAGCTTTTTCTAGTCAGGGACTTTGAATTCTCTGATTATATATTTTAGTAAGAAAAAATAACGGGAGCTAATCATCCAGTTAGCATCTCTAACTCATCTTGAATCCTGTGGGATAAAAATTACGTGACTTGCACACACATCTCTTAGATGCCAGGGGTTTCTGGTAATAGCAATAATATGGAAATCCAGAAACATGAGTTGAAATCCCAAGTCTACAACTAAATAGCCAAAAAGCCCTTGGGAAAGCCCTCTCTATCCCTCAGGCTCCTCGTAGAAAAAGAGACATCACAAATGCAACTACATAGCTGCCCAAAGCCCAGGCATCTCTTGTTCTTGCTGGGACACATAAACTTTCTAACCCAAAAAGAAAAGGAATCTCTTTAACATCAGGCTACCACGCCGGCGAAAGGATTCAGTCTTGCCCCTGCTTCTCTTTGACTTGTTCTTTGAATTCTTAACCTCCTAACATCCTCTCATTCCTATTTATTGCACTACTTATGAGTTCATATTTCTCTCAGAAGAACCTTGGCAACTGAATCGAAACTGACAGTGCCCACGTACATACTGAATAGCTAGTCCTCGTGGTTTGCTAGTCCTATGTGGTGCCAGATACTGTTACCATTTCAAAGGAGGGCCACATCACAGGGAAAGCAGAAAGTTTAAGGAACTTACATGACAAGAATGAAAGCCACTGGATTTTTACCTTTCTAAAAAACAGGTTAAGATAATTTGAAGGGAACTTACTAACTGAACTTTGCTGAGAGACTGGTATGAGACTCTAGCCTGAACTTTCATGCAATTCTCATACTGTAAGTTGTCATTCCTTTACTACACAGAAAAATAGAAAGAGGGAACTTGTTATTGAGATTTTCAACAGCAAAACAACAACAACAATTTGTTGTTGATTTTCAACAACAAATCAGGACTCATTCATTTCCTCCATAAGACAAATAGGTGTCTAGAGATTTATTTTCTAGTAGTTGAATGTTTGTAGTAAATCCAGTAGAAAATCATAGAGAAATACTAAAGAATGTTCTGCGACTGCCAGCCATTTCTCTGACATTGTAAACTTTTTTTTTTTTACAAGGTATGTTATAAAACCTGGGCATTTAAGGGGAGGAATGATAATTTATAAGTAAAAATTAAATCAACTTAGGGACACTACAAAGCCTAGTGCATTGCTTTATATTTATGTTGTATTTTTAAAGCCTAGCCACATTATACCTAAATATACAAAGTAGTTGCCTATTTTTCCTGCGGAATCTTAGAGAATTACCTAAGAGAGAAGGTAATAACTGAGTAGATATGTTTAGTTATCTATTCATTTCAGCTAAGAGATTTATTTCCCTAGATCACAAGGTCATTAAGTCAGGATAGTGTGAGGAAAATGCTGGTGAGAACTAGGTACTTGGTGATCAATCGCTTAACTGTTTTCCATGTCAGTTGCTCCTTTCCTAGGTCATTGCCCAAAAGAGTTAAAGGTATCTTTTTTTCACTGGATTTTAGAACAGGAAATCTTTATATCTTTAATTCAAAAGTCTTTTTTTTTTTTTTCTTTTTTTCTTGAGACACAGTCTTGCTCTGTTGCCCAGGCTGGACTGCTGTGATGCAATCTTGGCTTTCTGGGTTCAAGTGGTTCTACTGCCTCAACCTCCCGAGTAGCTGGGATTACAGGCATCTACCACCATGCTTGGCTAATTTTTGTATTTTTAATAGAAATGGGGTTTCACCATGTTAGCCAGGCTGGTCTCGAACTCCTGACGTCAAGTGATCCACCTGCCTCACCCTCCCAAAATACTGGGATTACAGGCATGAGCCACCATGCCAGCCCAAAGTCTTCTTTTCTTTACATTCTACAGATATATTTCACTATGGGCAATAATGATACTTTGTAATAGTTTTTATAAATTGAACTATTATAGATGAAATAGGAGAACTTTTTAATTTACAATCAAATAAAATTTAGAGCTACTAGGAATTCAAAGGATCCCAGTAAGGAATCCATTTTTCAAGTGCAGAATTACTTCCTGAGTCATCTCACATTGCCTTCAACTTTATTATCCACTATTTTGTATTCACTGTTGGTTGTGTCATTCATATACGTGAATCTTATTTCCTGATGTGTCATTTCTTTTAAGCTAGGACTATAACACCTAAATGCACAAACCAATTATATTTTCACTGAAAATTTTTAACAATTTAAATTGGCTTTTTATAAGTTAATATTTTAATGTATTTTTCTCAAATGCGTTGCATCTGTATACACAAAAGTGTAATTATTTTCAAATAATTAAGAAGCAAAGAGCTTTTTCTAGATTGACTGAGAAATAAGAGTTACAGAAGGAGTATCAAAACCACTTGGCTATCATGGTACAACCAGACATCACTGAAACTTAGAGAGAATTGCTATTTCATTTCACTATGATTAATATGCTGGGAATGAAGGAGGCTAGAGGGAAGTGTATAGTTCTGATTGCACTTGTAGTAAATCAAAGAAGTAAAGTAACAATGATATTTTATGATAATGCATTGCATTTATATAATTATTTTTCCGAAGATTTCAAAGAACTTTATTTATATTATCCCATTTGGTTCCACTAACATTCCATGAAGATAGGTAACTGCTGTTATCTTACATCATTTTTTTAAAAAAATAAATTGAACTTTAGGAAGATTAAGTGAATTTCCTACTCTCGACTATCAGTGCTAAACCTCAGTGTCCTAATGCCCAGAGTAGGTGTTCTTTTCTGGTTGACATCACACTGCCTTCTGCTAAAGCTGTCTTGAAGCTATGTATTGTACATCAGTGATCTCATCCAACTAGATGGCTCCAGTTATCACTGTATAGATAATTCTCAAAAACAATACTTCTACACTTGACTTGTCCCCTAAGTGCTGGACCCGTATCTCCATTCCGTGCAATCTTGTGCAGCCATAAGAAGTGTGCATTTGTTTATTGATATTGAAAGTTGTACTTTATATACTGATTAAAACCTGAAAGTTGTAGAATAGTGAAAATAATATGAGCTTATTTTGATTTTTAAATGCATATATATTTTTTTAATGCCGTGTGTGTGTGTGTGTGTGTGTGTTGATTATATCATTATCCATTTATCTCTGTCATAGCTCTAGCTACTGATTAACATATACAAATGTCTGAAAGAATGTACACTAAGCCATTATGGTTGGGGAAAATGTTCAGTGAGAGTAGAGCCCTTACATATTTTATTAGTATATTTATCTATATTTTATTATGTATGTACCAGTGTTGTGATTAAGAAAAAGTAATTTTAAACATAGCTTTTAAAAAGAAAAATAAATGCATAAAATGTGAAAAAATAATAAATGCTTTTTAAAAGATCAGCATGGAACAAACCAATACCTTTAAACTGTAAAGGATTACCAAATAATCGAGATAGTGTGGTGCTGGTCATCCACATGCAAAATAATGAAACCGGACTTTTACTTTATATAAAAATTAACTCAGAATGGATTAAACACCTAAATATAAAAGCTAAAACTATAAAATGCTTAGGAGAAAATAAGAATAAAGCTTTGTGACCTTGATTTGACAATGGATGCTTATATATGACACCAAAAGTACAAGCAACAAAACAACAAATTTAAAAATTGTACTTCATTAAATAAAAACTTTTGTGCTTCAAAGGTCACTATTCAAGACTGTGAGAAAACAATACACAGAATCAGAGAAAATATTCACAAGTTGTATAACTGATAAGGCACTTGTATCTAAAATATATGAAGAACTCTAATAATTCACTAATAAAAAGACAATCCAGTTTTTAAAAGGAAAAATGATTTTTTGTTAGACATTTCTCAAAGAACATATATAATAGGAAACAGGCACATGAAAAGATGCTCAACATCATTAGTCATCAGGGAATTGCCAATTAAAACCACAATGAGACACCACTTCACACCCACTAGAATGGTTATAATAATAAAACAGAAAATAACCAGTGTTGGTGATAGTATAGAGGAAGTGAAACTCCCTCATACATTGCTCTTTGTAATGCAAAATGGTGAAAGCCAATGTGGGAGATAGTTTTTCATTTAATCAAAACATTAAATATAGAGGTACTTGACATGACTGTTTATAGAAGCATTATTCATATCTAAATGGTAGAAATAGACCAAATGTCCCTCACTTGATGAAAAGCAATGACATATTGTTACATGCTACAATATGGATGAACTTTGAAAAGAGCTTCTCATGAAAGACCATGTTATGTGATTTCATTTATATAGAATGCCCAGAATTGATAAATGTATTGAGCCATAAAGTAGATTAGTGATTTCTTAGAGTTGGAGTGTGTGTGTGTGGCAGAATTGAGGGATGATAACTAAAGGATATGGGCTTTCCTTTTGGAGTGATAAAAAAGTTCAAAAATTGATTATGGTGATAATTGCACAACTTTATAAATATATTAAAACCATTGCATTTGCCTTTAAATGGGTGTATTTTATAGTATGTGAATTATATCTCAATACAACTGTTGCAAAACAGACAACAATATAATGACTCTACTCAGTGGAAACTTCATACAGTGGCCAGTGTTGCTGGTCCAGGGACCATACCTTGAGAACCACTGAACTAAAAATTTTCAGTTTATTTTTTTTATTCCCCCAAATTCCAAGTTAACCAGAGATCTTCATTCACTGACAATTTTAGTTGAGAGTTTATTATAAATTGCTGTTGGGCATAATTGGTTACCATAGGATTCTTCTTCCTTGACAGTCATTGATTGCACATAGTCATTGATTGCACAGCCTGGGAGATTTGCTGTCTATTCTTATTCCATAGGATGAGGAAGAGGATCTCAGGACCGAACTCAACCTTCTGAGGAAGTACTCTTTCCACAAAAATATTGTGTCCTTCTATGGTGCATTTTTCAAGCTGAGTCCCCCTGGTCAGAGGCACCAACTTTGGGTATGTTTTTAATCACACTGTTCTTATTCTGTAAGAATGAGTTTTACCCAAGGATGTATGTTTTCATGAGTTGTCACTTTTGTGAATCTACAGGAAAACTTAGCACACAACTGTTAATGTAGGATGGTGTATGAATCTGTTCTCACAATGCTATTAGGTTGGTTTAAAAGTAATCATGGTTTTTGCTATTAGCATATCTGAGACTGGGTAATTTATAAAGGAAAGATAATTTAATTGACTCACAGTTTCACATGACTGAAGAGGCTTCACAATCATGGCAGAAGGCAAAGGAGGGGCAAAGTCATGTCTTGCATGTCAGCAGGCAAGAGAGCATGTTTAGGGAAATGCCCCATTATAAAACCATCAGATCTTGTGAACTTATTCACTGTCATGAGAATAACATGGAAAGACCTGCCCTCAAGATTCAATGACCTCTCACTGGGCCCCTCCCATGACATTTGTGAATTATGGGAGTTAAAATTCAAGAGATTTGGGTGGGGACACAGTGCCAAAACGTATCGTTTCATCCCTGGCCCCTCCCAAATCTCATCTCTTCACATTTCAGAACCAATGATGCCTTCCCAACAGTCCCCCAAAGTGTTAACTCATTTCAGCATTAACTCAAAAGTCTATAGTCCAAATTCTGATCTAAGACAAGGAAAGTCCCTTCCATCTATGAGCCTGTAAAATCAAAAGCATATTTAGTTACCTTAGATGCAATGGGGGTATAGGCATTGGGTAAATATGCCTGCTCCAAATGGGAGAAATAGGCCAAAGCAAAGGGGCTACAAGCCCCATGCAAGTCCGAAATCCATCAGGGAAATCAAATCTTAAAGTTCCAAAATGATCTCCTTTGACTCCATATCTCACATCCAGGTCATACAGATATAAGAGGTGGGTTGCCATGGTCTTGGGCAGCTCTGTCCCTGTGGCTTTGCAGGGTACAGCCTTCCTCCTGACTGATTTCATGGGCTGACATTGAGTGTCTATGGTTATTCCAGGCACATGGTGCAAGCTGTCTGTGGATCTACCGTTCTGGGGTCTGGAGGATGGTGGCCCTCTTCTCACAACTCCACCAGGCAGTGCCCCAGTGGTGACTCTGTGTGGGGGCTCCAACCCCACATTTCCCTTCTGCACTGCCCCAGCAGAAATTTTCCATGAGGACCCAGCCCCTGCAGCAAACTTCTGCCTGGACATTCAGGAGTTTCCCTACATCTTCTGAAATCTAGGCAGAGGCTCCTAAATCTCAAGTTTTGACTTAGGTGCATCCGTAGGCTTGACACCATGTGGAAGCCACCAAGGCTTGGGTCCTGCACCCTCTGAAACCATAGCCCGAGCTGTACCTTGGCCCCTTTTAGCCATGGCTGGAGTGGATGGGACACAGGATGCCAATCCCTAGGCTGCACACAGCAAGAGGGTCCTGGACCTGGCCCATGAAACCATTTTTTTTTTCCTCCTAGGCCTCCGAGGCTGTGCTGGCAGGGCCTGCTGTGAAGATCTCTGACATGCTCTGGAGACATTTCCCCATTGTCTTGGTGATTAACATTTGGCTCCTTGTTACTTTTGCAAATTTCTGCACCTGGCTCAAATTTCTCCTCAGAAAATGGGTTTTTCTTTCCTACTGCATCATCAGGCTGCAATTTTTTTTAACTTCTATGCTCTGCTTCCTCTTGAACCCTTTGCCACTTAGCGATTTCTTCTGCCAGATACCCTAAATTATCTCTCTCAAGTTCAAAGTTCCACAGATCTCTAGGGCAGGGGCAAAATGCTACCAATCCCTTTGCTAAAACATAACAAGAATCAACTTTGCTCCAGTTTCCAACAAATTCTTTATCTCCATCTGAGACCACCTCAGCCTGGACCTTATTGTCCATATCATTATCAGCACTTTGGTCAAAGTCATTCAACAAATCTCTAGGAAGCTGCAAACTTTCCCACATCTTCATGTCTTCTTCTGAGCCCTCCAAATTGTTCCAACGTTTGCCTGTTACCCAGTTTCAAAGTTGTTTCCACATTTTCAGGTATCTTTACAGTAGTACCCCAATTTACTGTACTGATGCCAATTTACTGTGTTAGTCTGTTCTCATGCTGTTCATAAAGGCATACCAGAGACTGGGTAATTTATAAAGAAAAATGGTTTAATTGACACAATTCCATATGGTTAGGGAGACCTCACAATCATGGTGTAAAGCAAAGGAGGAGCAAAGTAATGTCTTACATGTGCAGGGATATTCCCCTTTATAAAACCATTAATCTTAAATCTCATGAGGCTTATTCACTATCACTAGAACAGCAAGGGAAAGACCTGCCCCCATGATTCAATTACCTCTCACCATGTCCCTCCCATGACATATGGGAATTATGGGAGCTACCATTTCAAGATGAGATTTGGGTGAGAAACAGCCAATCCATATCATGTGGCAAAACGAACTCTTATTCCTGGAGACAGGAGTGATAAAATATGGGAAAATATCTTATGTATCTGACAAGGGGTTTACTGGTGGGATGAGGGAGGACTCAAATGAATACTGGAAATATCTAACATGAATATTTTCAAATATTTTATATAGTTACTATGGTAGCTATTATGGTAATTACCTGATAAACTAATAAGTAATGACTGGATAAGAATTAAGGCTAATTAGCACTTGACATGAGCATATGGGTGCATTTTAAGTTTTTGCAAAGTATATGCACTTATGGATAAACATAACTCCTAAAAAACTATTTTTCAAATGGTAAGTTGACTTATCCTTTTCTTAGTCGTTATGCCTCAAGTGTCACAAATTCTAAATCAATAAGATATAAATTGTAGAGGCTAACTGGAACTTGTGCTACCTAAGCTACACATACCAGAATTTTTTATGCCCCCCACTATGGTAAAAATAGTTAAATCTCAAGCAAATCAGCTTTGGTCAAGGATGTCTTTATTAAAAATGGAATATTTAGAAAATAAGGTGGTGTTACTATATATTTGAATCCCTATACTTGTCGCATTTCCATTTCCCATCCAAGTTAGTAGTTTTTTTTTTTTTTTTTTTTTTTTTTTCAAAATAATGACTAAAGTGGTACGGTATCCTCAAGTGACAAGGAAATATTCTGTTACATTCTAAATAATGGATTTCAGAAAACAGGACAGTGAACATTATAGAAAGGTTTTCAACAAGGGGTGGAATTGAAACAGTGGTTCTCTAACTTTGTCAGGCACCAGAATCTCCTGGAGAGCCTGATAAAACACAGATTGCTGGCATCACTCACAGAATTTCTGATTCCGTAGATTTGGGAGTGTGGGTCCAAAACATTGTCCTTTCTAATAAGTTCAATATGTGATGCTGCCGCTGCTGCTGCTGCTGCTGCTGCTGTTTGGCTGATCACTATACTCTGGGAACCACAAAATTTAAAGACCTTCAGCTTAACTCTGTTATCTCTCAAATATACAGTTAACATGCATCCTCTATTCTCTGACAATTTCAGTCAAGATTTTAGCAAATATGGCTGCATCATTTAGTTACTAGGAATTTTTTTTTTGCATACACCATTCACCTTTTCATATATTTTCACTTACAAGCTTTTTTCGTCTTGACAGTATAGCAAAGTATGAGAATTTTTGTAGTCTCCTTTTTGGATATGTATTAGTACTCAATTCATTCAGGCATTCAGCATATATCAATTGAAAACTATTTGCCAGGTGTTGTGCTAGATGCTGAGGATTAAATAGTAAGCTGAATAGACATGCTCCTGACCCATTGGTGCTTACAATCTATTTGCAAAGACCAGTGTCAATCAAATAATCACACACATAAATGTTTAATTTGTCAGAAGGGAAATATCATGGCTCTCTGTGGGTGAAAAACAAACTTTAGTTAAGTTGGGAAATGAGAAACTCTTCCTTGAGGAATGAAATCTTGAACTGAGAGCTGAAGGGTGAATAAGCATTCAATGAATAAATTATTTGTGAAGGTAAGAGTTTTCATGAGACAGTTCACAAATTTTTGCCTATATAAATCAGAAAAACAAGTAGGAAGTAAGTAAATAGCTTAATAATGACCATTAATAAAGAAGTGTATGTACCAGGCATCATGCTTACAAAGTTAGGAAAATTATTGAGAATGTCTGACATTCCTTTTATACTTGAACTCTTCTGACTGGCATAATATAATCAAGATCTTCCAGGGTTTACCTAAGTTGAATGGCTTTAATTCTGGTTTGTCATGGTTCAAAATGAGGAGTTGTCACAGAGTACATGTTGTGCTCATTGAATATAGTCAATGCTTAATTCTTCATGCGAAAATCAACTTTTTGTGGCTTATCTGTATTGGTTTTGTTTGGCTGCCTCCTGTTTTTGGTGAAAGCGTAGCCATGTGAAAGACATGCAATAATATCAGTGGTGAATAACTATAAATTAGGGGAGTAGTTTTCTGAAGAGAAGATCTTAATATTCCATAGGAAGTAAGTTAGACTTTGTTTATTGCATTTTAGGTTTTGGGGTACGTGTGAAGAACATGCAAGATTGTTGCATAGGTACACACGTGGAAGTGTGATTTGCTGCCTTCCTCCCCATCACCTGTTTCTGGCATTTCTCCCCATGCTATCCCCCCCCAACTCCCCACTCCCCGCTGTCCCTCCCCTATTTCCCCCCAACGGACCCCAGTGTGTAGTGCTCCCCTCCCTGCGTCCACGTGTTCTCATTGTTCAACACCTGCCTATGAGTGAGAACATGTGGTGTTTGATTTTCTGCTCTTGTGTCAGTTTACTGAGAATGATGGTTTCCAGGTTCATCCGTGTCCCTAAAAAGGACATGAACCCTAAGTTAGACTTTTTGAATAGTCACAATTTGGGATTTATCCTTTTGCTTCCATTCATCTATGGTGATAATTAATTTGCATAAAGTTTTTAAAAAGAGGTATTTTGATCTTTTGATAAAGTATTTTTGACATGGGCAGTAATACATAAACCTTCACTCAAGGAAAAGATTGCTGGGATAATTATGATAGGTATATCTCTTCTACATTGGTCTTTCCTCTAACTAATATTACCTGGAAGAAAATCTACTAGTTGGGCCCTCACTTTATATGTGTCAAAAATAAACTTTCTGAGAATGGAGTTTATTAATACAATAAAATCTTAATGAAATATTATCAAAGATATTAGCTTTAAAATAGGTTTTCCTTGGCAGTAATCCCATTTGGAAGAAATTATCCCATAGGAATGCAATGGACAAATTCCCCCTTGGAGTTGTAGCTTGCCAGTATCTTGGGAAAATAGTTTGAAATTAGAATATAAAAAACAAAACAGCAAAAACCAAACCTAGTTTTAATGTTGAAATGTAAATTCTTTTGAGACCCTCCATATTTTGCTTCACCCCCAATCAAACTGTTTTCTTGACCATTCTTTCATTCCCATTCTAGTCATCACTTAAGTTTGTTCCCTGCAAAAACTTCTTTCTAAAAGCATGTGTTAATTTAGTTTTCCATAAACGGAATGCTTTTTCTTTTAAGCATGTCCAAACACTACATGTCCTTAAAGACATAGCTCAAACTCCAACTCCCAGTTAAATATCTCTGGTGAAATACCTGGCTTCTCTCCCTCTACAAAACTTTGGGTTTACTCCAACTCTTTCTAATTTCGCTAGCTTTTGGAGTCTACCACCAGACAATTGAGGCTGTCTTTGCAGTGCCTTAATCTCTAAACATTACATATAGATACAAGCCATATGGACTAAAATTCTCCAGATATTTTCATAAAATTGCATTTTTATGAAATTTTTTATACTTGTTTATAATTTTTTATACTTGTTTATAATTTTTTATACTTTGCTGGCTTTCCTGCAGATGGTGATGGAGTTCTGTGCAGCAGGCTCGGTCACTGATGTAGTGAGAATGACCAGAAATCAGAGTTTAAAAGAAGATTGGATTGCTTATATCTGCCGAGAAATTCTTCAAGTGAGTCTTAATATAGTCATTCTCTTCTGATATTTTAAGAACCTGGGAGTAATATATATAATGCACCTTATACCTGCTCACATCAGATAGTTTAGGTATTTGAAACATAACCTATGCATCACAATATGTAAAAAAGCTGAAAAGCTTTTGGGAAAGCAGATTTGCAGCTGATCCCCTTAAACATTAAAGTAGTCCACAGCTGGGTAATCACCTCCTTTGAAATCATGGCCTTTTATACCTCTGTCAGATTCTGACTACTACATTCAATGGATCACAGAAATAACCACTTGGATTATTTTTTATGTTATTATTATTTTAGAGTTCCTTAAACATAAACATAGTACAAACATTATAGATTAAGATGAAGGTGAGACAGAAGTCAGTATTGTATGGAATGGCCTCAAACCATCTGTAGCCTTCTGGCAAACGAACATTTTCTTTGATTACTGCTTCTGTTTTAAATGTCTTTATCTTCCACAGCCAATTTGATGAGAGTAACAATCTTCTTGATCTATCAGATTCCATCTTTTGTGACTAAAGTTCTCAAAGTCGTCCAAGAAGGATATTAACAGAGTTAGCAGTACCATTCATACGATGTTAGAATGTCCTTCCTATCATTTTAATTGGATTCACTTGTGATGATAGTGTAAATGGTTGAGAGTTCAAACTCTGGACTGAGTTTACATTTAGTTTACCATGTATAAGTTTTGTAACTTTGAATCAGTTACTTAATTTTTCCAAGGCTCACTTTCCTCATCTATATTATGAGGGTGATTTTAACACCTTCCTTAAAGAGTTTCTGTGAGAAATTATTAATTTATTCCATGTAAAGCACTTAGTACAATCCTTAGCAAAGAATAACGGCTCAATAAATGTTAGCAGTTTTATTGTTACTTTATTATGAATCTCCAGTTAGTGGCTGGGGCAATCTTACTACAGCCTAACATTGCATACCATAGCATGGGTTAGCCAGGTCACGGGTAAATTTTAGTGGTGAATGGGCTAGAGCCAAAGTGTTAAGCCAACACAGATTACAAATGGTTTAAAATGAATTTCCACATTCCCCTAAATTATCAGCCTACAAGGCTGACTAGAAAATATTTTGGACTAAACAAATGGTTGGATAGGGAACAGAGCAAAACAATAGCTGAGGTATGATATTTAAGATGTCCAGGTCTTTACTTTACTCTTAGGTCAGCTGGAAATATGGAGGCTAGAAATGAAGGTAAAGTGGCCCACTGTATACAAACATTTATTTTGGTGTTCTTTTTCTTTCGTGGGTGTCCTGATTTATTTTCCTTTCCTTATAGTCAGAAGTTATATTTCTAGGAACGGGTTATAGTAATTCCAGTCTAAAGAAAGAACTGTGTTTGAAGCTTCAGAATTAAGCTGTTTCTCTTATCGAAAGTTTTCCCGAAAACACTACAACTGTACTGGAAAGAGATAAATATATACTGATGTGGCTTTTTAAAAAATATATACAGGGGTTAGCTCACCTTCACGCATACCGAGTAATTCACCGGGACATCAAAGGTCAGAATGTGCTGCTGACTCATAATGCTGAAGTAAAACTGGGTAAGTTTATTCTTATAGTATTTCAAGTTCAAAACATCTTAATGGAAAAAACTCTACTAAGATAAGATAACTATACTTTCCCCCATGTTCCTGCCAATATCCTCTACTAATTTCAGCTGGGTTTTCCCTGCCTGCAAAACCAGTCAAAATTCGAAAATTTGTTTGGGAGAGAAGGCAGGGCAAAATAAAGAGAATGCACCTACCTACTTCTTTGAAATCATGTAGATAAAACAACTTTAGAATTTTAATGGGGATTTACTACTTTTTGGTCATCCTTTTACCCTCTATTAGAAATAGCTACTATATTTATTTAAACAATTGAATTGAGTATTTACCATGTGCAAATTTTGATGTCATGGGCAGGAATTTAAAAAAATAAAAAAATTCTTTCACACAACAGAGCCATAATTTCTCAAGAATATCAAATAAGTTTTAATTATATAAGGAGGAATTGCTTTGGATTTTTTCAGATATACAAAGAAATGATATTGATCAGAATTGATGTTCCAAAAATATCCAAGTCAAATTCAGAATTATAAATCAAAAAAAGCTGGAAGTATCTAGCTTTCTATTCCTGAGTTCAGAGTGGTATAATTTATTTGAAAATAACCACACATATTTTCTGAATTTTTTTGGCATTAAGCACATAGGGGACAATATGTTTTATCCTTTTATGTGTAAAATAAATATCAATAGTTTTCAGAATAATACCATAAAAATCATGTCAGTACATTGTAGTGGCAGATAACCTCATTGATACAGAAGGTAAGTCACTTGCATTATTTTCAACACTTTGTAAACATGTGTCTGAACATGACCTTAAGATATTTCCCGTTTTGTTGCTAAACACTTAGAACAAGAGTAGAGATTTTGTTTATTCATTGAAAACATTTTTCACTGAACACTTGCGGAGGAAACATGAGGTAGTAATTGTTTATCCTTGAAATAAGTGAAAGTAGTTTTAAGAGAATGTATTACTTCTTTGGTGTCTGTCTAAAAGCTACAAAGCTAGAAACACAATTTTAAAATATATGAGAAGTGGCCAGGTACAGTAGCTCACACTTATAATCCGAGCATTTTGGGAGGCTAAGGCATGAGGATGACTTGAGACCAGGAGTTGAAGACCAGTCTGGGCAACATAGCAAGACCCTGCCTGTAAAAAAAAATGTTTAATTAGTTGTGCATGGTGGTGTCCACCTGAGGTCCCAGCTACTCAAGAGAATGAGGCAGGAGGATCACTTGAGCCTAGGATTTTGAGGTTTCAGTAAACTACGATTGTGCCACTGCACTCCAGCCTGGGTGGCAGAGACAGACCTTGTCTCTAAATAATAAATGAATAAATAATAAAAATATAAAAAATAAGAGCATACACATTTCACATTTAAATATGCAGGGCAGGTAGTTTATCACAAGGCTAAACGCTGTTTGCATATAGAGCAGCACTCTCATATACTTGTGTCAAGTTGCTGGCCAAGGCAAACATTTGCGACACAAAAGAGTAATTGTACATGGAAGAAAAGCCACTGAAATATCTGTCAAAATGTCCGTGCACTTTAGCTGAGCATGGTGGCGCGTGCCTGTAATCCCAGCTGCTCAGGAGGCTGAGGCGGGAGAATTGCCTGAACCCAGGAGGCGGAGGTTGCAGTGAGCCGAGATCTTGCCATTGCACTCCAGCCTGGGTAACAAGAGCAAAACTCTGTCTCAAAAAAAAAAAAAAAAAAATGTCCGTGCACTAAAGTTCATGTACTTTCTCTGAAGGAGAGAACGTCTACTGCTGGATTAGAGTTTAATAAGACTTACTTTATATGCAATCCCTGTACAATTTGTTTTTGATGACTCAGACTATCATTATTTTTAAGTAACACATTATAAAATTTCATCACACATATTTTACACTTAAGTCTTGTACAATTTGTTTTAAATTTTTTAGATTATAGTTGTTTTAAAGCAACATAGTATAAGGAGAAAGTTGCAGAAAGCAAACCTAATGACAGCCAAAGCAAGTGATAGAAGGGAAAGAGATGGAAAAATGATTATATTGCAGTTGCAATCGTTCAATAAACTTCATATTCCAGCCTGTAAGGTCATGAAAGAAGGTTTAAATTATGCCATTGTTGAGGTTTCATCTCATCTTGGCTTTTCATTCTCTTTCTCTTGCTCTTTTTTCTTTTTTTCTATTAATCAGTCTTCTAGTCTTTTCTCCTTTCATTTTCTCCTCTGGAAATATGCCATATAGAAACTTATGGCCTTCATAGGTATTTCTTGGCCCCTAATGCTGGCTTACAGGGATAGTGAGAATGCTGAGCTATTATTTAGCCTATTTCTTTAAAAAATCTAGATAAAAACATTGTACAACACCCAATGGTGTCTTCACAAATATTGTGGACATTTTTTTTGGGGGGGGTATTGTCATTCTTGTTATATCCTTTAAAACTGCCTTGAACTCTTAGGGTTTTCTTTTTCATTTTTCTTCTCTTTCCCTAAATTCCTGAAGCTGCTTTTAGTCAGTTTTGTTCGCCATCCTCTGGATTCCTGGAAACCATTCTAAATTAGAAAATCTACTTCATTTTTCATCCCTGTTTTATTTTTTCTGGAATAAATAACCCCAGTCCACTTTAGCCTTTTTATTTCTGTTTCTGAGGATACCATACCAAATATTTTCTTATAATGTATCCCACAGATGAATAGAAGACTGAACTTTTATAATCTAAGCTAAGCTATAGATACCACAATAAATACCTGCATCTGCTTCAAAAGATCTGTGTAGGAATTTAAACTAAATTCTAGCAGAAAACTCCTTTTTCTTTATCATTGTGATAGAGCCTTCTAATATCATGTGTGAGGCTTCCTGATCAACTGCTAATAGGTTTCAGATTTCTTTGATCTTGCTTATAGTTCTGGTCTTCCTCCAGCTTGGTGCCAGGTCCAAACACTCCATATGTTATCAGTTTGGAGGTTCAGAGTGTCCCAACAGAATTTTATCTTTAATATTCATTGTAAACATTCAGCCAAACCTAATGTAGATTTATAATAGCACTGCTGAATCTCATTCCAACATAAATAGCAGCAAAAGCTTATTCCCAGTATTCCTGGAGTAGACTTCGTGGTAAAGTTTGCTAGGCTAGAATGAAAATCTGTTATCCATTGTGGCTTTTGTGTCAGCTTTCCAAGTTAAAGAAATAACTTATTGAGCTTTTTCTTTCTGATTGATTATTTTGACATATAATGATTTTGGCAGTTGATTTTGGAGTGAGTGCCCAGGTGAGCAGAACTAATGGAAGAAGGAATAGCTTCATTGGGACACCATACTGGATGGCACCTGAGGTGATTGACTGTGATGAGGACCCCAGACGCTCCTATGATTACAGGGTGAGTATGAGAATTCAGACAGTGGAAATTACAATTTGGAAGGATTTTTGATTAACATTTTTTGCAATGATAAAACAAAAAATAAAAAGCAGGCAACTCCTCCTTTAACATTACATGCTGGTTGGAAATACTAGCCTCTATTTCAGTAAGCGGTGTGATTATATGCATGAAATAATACTTTCTAAGAATGTGGACAAAGTGTACCATTGAGAATTACCTGCATTGGAGGCAGAACATGTAGTTTATGTTGCTTGCAACGTATTGGTAAAAATATTATATAATGTGGATTTATATGTATATAAAAATTTTACTTCCAGGGGCAAAAGACATTGTAAACTTAAAAATGAATAAATGTAAAACCAATTATTAATCCCCACAGTAACTTAGCTCCAGAAAAGACAAAAAAAAAGAAAATTTGATTACTCAGGGTAATGGAGAAAATCCTTGGCATGTTTCACCTCCAAAGCCACAGAAAATCAGTAGAATAGACAAATTAAGTAACAATTCCTGCTATTTATTAAAATTTCCACTGAAACTGCAATTTGGACAATATACATCCACGTACATATTTCAAAAAGTTGATGTGGAAAGAAAATTCTCCATTTGCTATAGACTGGAAAAATGTCACTCCCCACATAAGTCATCCAAACAATTACTTGTGGTCTCCCTGAGTAGAACCCAGGACTCAATACTTGAAGTTAATTAATTGAGATTCATCTCTTTTCCCTTTCCTTAAGTGCCCTCTGCATGATCTGCAAAATGATTATTTACTGAGAGCCTATTATGTTTAGTGCTCTGTTAGGAGCTATGAAGACTATGGAAGCACAAAGTTCTTCAAGTGGCTTTTTATAAAAAATAATGCTTTATAGTTGTATACTTTTTGCTGTCTTCCAAGGACTTTTACTTGTATTTGTTATTTATTTTTAGTTTTTAGCACCATATAATTGAAGGAAATCTTAAGCTTAGACTATCACAACTGAAGCTAAAAAATCTATAAACTGGGGTTCTAAGAATCCAGTTAACCTATGAGGCCGCAGATCATCTGAGGTCAGAAGTTTGAGGCCAACCTGGCCAACATAGTGAAACCCTGTCTTTACTAAAAATAAAAAAAAAAAAAAATAGCCAGGCCTGGTGGTGGGCACCTGTAATCCCAGCTACTCAGGAGGCTGAGGCAGGAAAATCGCATGAACCCAGGAGACAGAGGTTGCAGTGAGCCCAGATTACGCCACCAAACCGCAGCCTGGGTAACAGAGTGAGACCCTGTCACAAAGAAAAAAAAAAAAAAAAAGAATTCAGCAAATCTGTTTAGGAGTCATTTAGCCTTCCAGTGTATCTCTAGCCCTGTGCCCTTTCCACGCTAAAAAATAAAGTACTAAACAGTTAGTTAATAGTAGTGAAGATAATTTTCTAGAAACTCTTTATAGTTCTAGCCTTAGTTTAGTATATTCCAGGAACTGCTGAAATACGCACACACACACACACACACACACACACACACACACACACACACACCAGTCCTATCTAAATGTATGCTATTATTATCTCTATTTTACATAGAGTGAAATTAAGGTACAGAGAGTTAAAACATTTGTCCAAGATGATACAACTGGTGAGTCTATGTAATAAAATATCTTTATGGCAAGTTTCTTTTGGTATTTCAGGTAAGGCAATAATAGCGATGCATCCAAGATGAACTTTCCTTGCATTTAACCCCATTCCCTATCAACCTGTTGTGTAGTGAGGTACTGGCTGGTTGCAAGCTCAGATTATGCCTTCTTACAATGTCACTCTATAATGAAGCTTTACTATAGGAAACCCATAAAATGGCTCTGGCATTGGCATCCACATCCCCAACTAAACATTGTTTTGATATTCTAAATACTACCAATTGCCTATTTTTAAGTGACATTTTTTTGTCATGTTTTTCTTTGCAGAGTGATGTGTGGTCTGTGGGAATTACTGCTATTGAAATGGCTGAAGGAGCTCCTCGTGAGTAAAAATGTTTGATATTTGTTAAAGATTAGGGAAATATACGATATAAATCGTACAAATCTCTCTCTGTGGAAGAAGTTGAGATTGTCACTTGTACCATTCAGCTTTGACTGGCCAGACAGGTGTCATACTATGTGCCAAACTACTAATGGTGACCTTTTCAGTGATTACCAAATGCTTTCTTCAGAATAGCTACATGTGGGTATGTAAATCATCTTGTGCTTTTCTTTCTTACAATATCTTATTTTAGATTGACTGAGTTTTGTTTCAATTTATTCTCAGTAGTATTTGGTCCTGACAGTCCTGAGCAACCAGAATAAGGATTCTGGCTGGCATTCCAGTCTATATTTCCTGGTGGAATATTTAGATTCCAGAACATTTAGTCACACACTGCTACTGCCTCAGGCTGTAATAGTTGAGAAAATTCTCTAGCATTTCATTGAAATTGAGCTAATCTTCAGAAATTTCAGGAAGTAAACATATTTTTTTTTTCCTTTGGAGTCAATCCAGCTTACCTTTGCTGCCCCTTTTACTCCCTTCAGCTGCCTCAGTGCCCATGTCATCTTGTTTTCTCTACCTCTCCATCATTTAAATGACCTGTTAGCATCCTGTTCTCTCAAGGCACTGTTTTCTGATAGGAAAGTAAAAATGGAATGTGAACTTGGGTGTAAATGATGGATAACCATCTAATGTGTGCCTCCAGAGCATAGTATGGTTGCTGTCCTCAGTAACTAAAATCCAAAAGTGTAAATGACAATGTATCTCTGGTATTGTTGAATGAGAAGTGAAGAAAAAAAAATGCCTTGTGGGGTGTGGGGAGGATTGCTTTGCTTTCCCCTCTCCAAAGCAGATCCTGTAGATTCCCATGTTCTTGTATGCTCTATCTGCAAAATGTTCACCCATCAAGGTTTATGAGTTTGAAATATCTTAGCATTTAGTTTCACGGTCAATGAGAGGAATTTCAAGAAATAGAAATAATGATAACATAATTTTTGAGAATTCCTGCTATCCCTTTGAATATCAAAGAGGGGCTGGGATAAAGCTAGGACGCCTGTGGAGATCATGTTGCTTCTGCCTCTATTATAGGGCCCCCAATTTAGCAAAGTACCTTAGTTGGGTGAATAAAAAATTAATAATAAGAAATATTAAAATGTAAAAAGATTACATATGACACATATATAAAATTGAAATGATACTGAGGGGATGTGGACTAGTCCTCATCATCTCTTGATTATTTCTGTTTGGGAAACATACATAATGTTAAATTGAGCAGTCGCAACTAGTATTTCCTATTAGTATTGATGCATGGGTTTGGTTAGGATACATGCCTGCATGTATATTTTTCCCATTGTTTTTGAGTGCTCCTCAGCATGCCTTTTCGGAAAACCAACTTTCTATGTTTTGTGGTTTATACTTCCTGAGTCACCTTTGTTTGTTTCACTTTTTTTCATTCCAAAATATTAAGTTATGGGAAAAAAGTATTGGTGAGCAAACTCACAGGAGTGCAGAGAAGGAATTTTGCACAGTTTACACAAATTGCAAGCTTCTTACAAAAGATAAGTGAAGACCAGGAGATTTGGAATTCACAAAGACAAAATAGGGCTGTCCTGTCTGGATCAGTAATTTGTATAGTACAACTTTGGTCAACAGTATCTCTAAATGGACTCCCTACTAAAACATTTCTCCTTCGCTGGTGTTCTTTATTGCCTGGAATATTAATTTTGTATGGAAATAATTGTCATCTATTTAACTGCATAAATCCTCCAGGTTATGATCATTATTATCTCAGAAGGGATGGCCTTCCAAAGTGACAATTATCTGATAATATCCTTTGAGGTCCAGAAAACAAAATTGTCTTCCTTTGGTGAATCTTTTCCAGAGAAGTAAAGAGAGAGAAAGAATAACTTCTCCCTGATAGGATGCCATAGGGCATGGGCCCCCAACCCCTGGGCCAAACTGCAGGAGGTGAGTGGCGAGCAAGTAAGCAAACATTACCACCTGAGCTCTGCCTCCTGTCAGATCAGCAACAGCATTAGATTCTCCTAGGAGTGGGAACCCTATCGTGAACTGAGGATGCAAGGGATCTAGGTGGTACGTTTCTTATGAGAATCTAATTCATGCCTGCTGTACTGACGTGTAACAGTTTCATTCCCAAACCAAGCCCCTAACCCTAGGTCTATGGAAAAACTGTCTTCCACGAAACTGATCCCTGGTGCCAAAAAGTTTGGGACCACTGTTGCAGGGGCTCTAGAAATAGAGAACTAGACATTTGCAAACCAGGACCTCCTTCAGTCCCTAGGTTCTGGGTAGGAAATCAAACAATATGGGGACCTTTAAACCAAGGCCAGAGCATTTCTAGTAACCATCCAAACATCAGAGTATCATAGGCTAATTTTGAATAGATGTGGTTTTTAGATAATCTGCTCCTGGAGGAGAAGCAGGATAAGATCAACAGTTCACCCTGACTCCCCTTTCTTGGCAAAGCTGTACACCAGTTAACCTGCCTTAAACTGGGCCATGTTTTCCCTTATTTTTGCAATCTCCTTGATACTGTAGATCATTTTAAATATTGTCAATGATGCTTCTTTATAGTCCTACTTCTATTCCTTGCAGTGTCGCACTCTCACACCTCATGTCAACCTTTACCTGAATGCATTGTGGCTCAAATCTACCCCTGTCCCATCAAGAGTCCTATTCCTTCAATATTCGGAAGATTCCCTCAGATCTCAACATGTGTTAAGAATAAACCACATTATTTAACCAAATTCAAACTAAACTCAGTTTAATATGTGTCCTACCCTTCAAAAGATAATGTGATTTTTAAGGAAGGCTTGCTGTTTCAAAAAAAATGAGCCTCTTAAGGCCGGGCATGGTGGCTCACGCCTGTAATCCAAGCACTTTGGAGGTCAAGGTGGGTGGATCACCTGAGGTTGGGAGTTCAAGGAATGAGCCTCTAATGATGAACATTTAGGTAACGTTATGAGATATGGATTGGAGGGGGCAGTTACTGACATTCCTAAAATTAGACTATATAAGAAACCATAAACAGCTGCTGTTGACATAGCTCTTGTACCCACCCTATGCTCCATTGCTTTGTGAACTTTTCCTTTAAAGAAAACTTACCTAGTCTGTGTCCTAGCTCTTGACCCCTGAAAATGTTGTCAGTGGACTGACTGTTGCTCAGACGTTAATAAATGACCACTTTTTAATATTGTACAAACTCACTTACAATGTGTTTAAAGGACAGAACCTGGAGACTGATTGGACACAGTAAAAGAATTAAAAGAGTTAAATATGATTCTGATCTTTTGTTCTTGGAGCTTATTCTGCCTTCAATTATAAAAATGCACCTTCTATTAATTTATAACCGTGTAACTGAAAACAAAGCTTGACCTTTAAACAATTCCCTTTGTATAGGCCTAGTAAAATCACCCTGTGGAGTTTTTGTCTACTACTATGAGAGGCCTGTTTGTCACTTTAGGTTTGCATCTGAGGATGCATTTTGGGAGAGAAAGGATTGCTCTATCAAGAATCATTAATATCAAGTTATTCTCACAAGAATGACACGCTTGTAATGTTAGATTAAATTGACACTATGGTTCTTGATTGGGGATGTTTAATCACAACACAAGAGGAAATAAGTTAAGTGAGACATATTTAAACACTTAGAGAAAAAAACAAAATTCCCAAAGAGGAAATAAGTAAAATGAGACATATTTAAACACTTAGAGAAAAAAAACAAAATTCCCAAACCAATGAGGTAATTAATTTATATAGCACATATTGGAATGGGCTTTTCTTTTTATGCCTGTGTGTATGAAACAGAGAACAAAAGGTCCAGTAATTTGGCACAGTCTCAAAGTTTCATAGGGTTAAAATCTTTATTATAATGTCAATAGCTGATATTTATTTAGCATCTACTATGTATGAGATACTTTTGGGGGGATTTTAAAAATTATTTTAAAATTTTTTGTGGGTATTTAGTGTATATATTTATGAGGTAAAGACACTTTTACTTGTAAGTTGCTAATTAATCCTCACAGCAATTCTTTGAAGGGATTCCTCCTGCTACATTTCCTGTTTTTCAGATGAAAAGAACACAAGATACAGACTAGGTTAAGTAATTTGCCCAAAGTCACGAAGGTAAAGCTAGATTTGAACCCAAATGATCTTACTCTAGGTGGTGTATTCTTAACAGTTGCACTATACCTATCTTTTGTTCTAGAACTCTCAGCTCCCAAAACAGATTCTTCTCAGCTTTCAAGACTACTAAACCATTGTTATTTATATATTATTGCATTTAAATAGTAGTCTGGTTGACTTTTTCAGTCTATAATTACATATCCCAATTTTATGACTAAACACCTGCAATACAAAATTACAGAAGTGTGCTTGTTTCACTTTCAGCTAACTTTTCTAGATATAAATTATCAACTATACATTTCAAATATGTTTTCTAGTTTATTATTAATTTATACTCCCTGGTGATAGTGAAACTTGAGAATCTTATATATTGCAAAATTGTGTTAAAACAAGCTTTTCCTTTTCTTTCTAAATACATTCTTTTGTATTTATTCGTCCCTTAGTGGCTACTAAACATGATGTGTGAAAGATTACTGAGAAACCCCTCTGGAATGAGGAGTGTGCTCTTTACCATTTTTGTAAATTTACCTATTTCCCTTTGCAGCTCTATGTAACCTTCAACCCTTGGAAGCTCTCTTCGTTATTTTGCGGGAATCTGCACCCACAGTCAAATCCAGCGGATGGTAAAGACGAATACCTTAATCTCCTAAATACATTGACTTGACATTTTTATGTTAGCAAAGAAGTTTTAATTCTTTTGGTCACTCCTGCTCCACCATCCTTGTTGGACAATATTTTCTAAAATCTAATATCTTAACTGGGAGGTTTAAATGACCAGTTTTCATTAATAAGTAGCTAGCCAAGTATAAATGAGTAATATCCTCGATAGTATTTTCTGATGCTATTATTCTACTGCCATTAATGGGCATGTTCAATTGTTTCCACAGTAATGGGATGAACTAATGCAACTATATGTGGTGCTTACATAGGCAGTCAGTTATATGCAGCCCTGTTAATTAGTCATTTAAACTAAACATACACAGACCTAGAGCGGAAGACTTGCTCTCCCAGGACACTACATGCCAGCTAAACTTGGGAATTCTCTCTAAAGCTTGTTGATCTTGTACCTAAAGCTTTTGCATATATTAGTTACTATTGCTTTCCCTGGTAGAAGTGGTGACTGTTATTTGATTGCTAACATTCTGCATTGCAATTCAATTTAACCCTTTCCATGGATTCAGTCTTTATGGCCACATCTATTTTCACGAGTCGTTTTTCAAGATTAGTTAGTCCTGGCACTTTTAACACCCTCTTTTTGGATCATTATATTCATTCTTCTTTAGTTAAAACTGCATATAGTCAAATGAAAAATACAGAGTACAAGTGCTGTGGGACGATGAATCTAGTCTTTCAGACTACATATATCGCATTATCCATTTAATCATCATATTTGCACTTGAGATTTTACCAGGTACATACAGTCAACTCATTGAAATTTCTACTGTAATTTAGATGGTAAATGCTATTGACTTTTGCTTCTTTTTCTGAGGCCTAAATGGGCTCACTGTATAATGTCTGTTGCCAAACTGCAGGATGTTTGGCAATTGTAAAGACAATGATACTTAAAGGCAACTCTCTCTATGATTTTCAGAGAGGCATGTGGGTGGTGGTGGGAAGAGGTCTGGCAGGACTGAGAACACTTTTTTTTTTTTTCTCTTGGATTTATTTATTTTAGGTCCCGTAAGTTCCACAATTTCATGGAAAAGTGTATGGTAAAAAATTTTCTGTTTCGTCCTACTTCTGCAAACATGCTTCAGCACCCATTTGTTCGGGATATAAAAAAGGAACGACATGTTGTTGAGTCATTAACAAGGCATCTTACTGGAATCATTAAAAAAAGACAGAAAAAAGGTAGAATCTGTGACGTTTTATTTTACTAAAATGAATATTCAGAGTTTGTTCATGTATTGTTTCCAGGAAAAAATAATATTTGTTTAAGAATTAGGTTGAAAGTAAAACTTCTGAGGCCTTCGACATTTAGTTTTGCCAAGAATATAGCATGTGCTCTTATTTAAATCATTAACTCTTGCCTGAGTGTGTGTGTGTGTGTGCGTATGTGTGTTTGTGTGCTTTTGTGTATAGTCACTAATTCTTGCCAGTTACACCTGGAAAATATTCATATTTACAGAGACCTTGAAAACCTCCAGTAAAATTTTGTGATATGCCAACTTTAAGTAACTAAAATAAATGAAAGATAAAAGGTAACAAAATGTATATGTTACTGTTTTTTTTTTTTTTTTTTCAGCTGGCATGTTGACAAGATATAAATAGATTTGTAATTAACCATTTATTGACAATTAATTTTGAAGTAGCATTTGCGTCATATAAAGCTAGTTTTATGTACTAAACTCCAAATATAAGATGTAATTAAAGGAACTAATTTATACAAATAAACATAAACTTCTGTCTATTAATAAAAGCGAACTTCTATTTAAAATGGCAGGATTTTGCAGTGACCCTAGATTGTGCCACTGCATTCCAGCCTGGGTGACAGAGAAAGACCCTGCCCCCCAAAAATTAAAATAAAAATGGAAGGATGGATTTTCACCAAGTACAGAAGAAGCCACTTGGGAAGTTCTAACTTTATATGTTATGTTACATATTTCACATTTGGTTTTGGGGACCATAGGCAGAGTTGAGAGTAACAATGAAATGTAGAAGGGAAAACTTGAAAAAGCATCCTCAGATCAGCTGTGGGATTGATTGCAGTGGGGCTTGTTACATCTGTACATGTATCCTGTTTTGAGATAAGGAGCAGCAACAATTAATTTATTTACCTATGATAATAAAGTTATTGAACCAATGTCACAGAAGACCAGCCAGTTTCGAATGGGTGCAGGAAAACTGCACATCTACTTGGTAATTTGCTAATTTCCAGAGTTGCAATCAGCAAACTGACACAAGAGCAGAAAATTTCCAAAATTTTACCTGCAGGAAAAGTTCCATTTATATGACAGTTGCACTAAAGATATAAATATAGTTGCCCTAAACATTTTAATATAGGAAATTCAAAAGAAAACTCTTTTGTTTGTAAGCTTCTATATTTCAGTAGTAACGGCACAGCTGTTAGGAAAGAAGCTGAATTTTTTCAATGTGTTTAGCGTAAAACACAGAATTAAGAATTTGCCTTCTCATTGAAAAGAATTAATATCAACTCAAGCCATCAAGTCCTTACATCTAGCGCTCACAGCTGTAAGCAATGCTCACCACTATCTGGAGTTCCTCTTGTCTCATTCTCCCTTTGTCCCATTCGCTCTTCTTTCTTTTTTTTAGAATTGCAGAAATCAGATAGCTAAATTTTCTTTTCTCTGTTCAGAGAAATTAATCTGCATGCAATAGCTGTATTGTGCTTTAAAATAGGCCTAGAAATTAGAATATTGTCTACATCACAAACCAAGTGTGTTTGAAGGGCTACCTTCTTACCCTTGTAATTCACTCCATGTCCTGAGAAGTAGAGGGAACAATGTGAATAAAGTGGATAACATGCTTATATGCTGTTTATGCATTATGTTTTTCTCTTTCTTAAAAAAAGGAATACCTTTGATCTTTGAAAGAGAAGAAGCTATTAAGGAACAGTACACCATGAGAAGATTCAGGTGCGTTCCACAAAGTGCATATATAATTTGATCATAGAAATTTATGTAAGGCAGTTGATTCCATACCGTTACCTTTGATTCAGAAAGAATTCTTTCTGATACAACAAATAAGAGATCTCTGTTTTTAAGAAATATCAAGTGAAAATATAAAGAGAATATTTTATTATTGCCCAAAGACTCCTTAATATCTGGCAAGTGAATGATCAAGTAGATATCAGATTTCATTAATAATTGAATACATTAGTAATACAAATGTTACCTTCAGAATATTTCAGACATTAAGGGAATAATTTCAGAAAGATTTACTGAAGGTATCTTCATTGCAGAAAATTTCCATCTTTTAAAGTAAAAAACAATGGCCCTGAGTGGCTGCATTCCACTAAAAATTCTAATTGTATGCCCATCATTTGTGTGTTTATTTTAGAGGACCCTCTTGCACTCATGAGCTTCTGAGACTGCCAACCAGCAGCAGATGCAGACCACTTAGAGTTCTGCATGGAGAACCCTCTCAGCCAAGGTGGCTACCAGATCGAGAAGAACCACAGATCCAGGCACTTCAGCAGCTACAAGGAGCAGCAAGGGTATTCATGCCACTGCAGGCTCTGGACAGTGCACCCAGGCCTCTAATGGGGCAGGCTCAAGCACCCCTACGACTACAAGGGGCAGCTCGGGTGTTCATGCCACCACGGGCTCGGGTGAAGTCTAAGGCCTCTAGACCTCTACAAATGCAGATTAAGGCACCTCCACGACTACAGAGGGCAGCCCGGGTGCTCATGCCACTACAGGCACAGGGTAGGACACCTAGGCTTCTACAGGTACAGGCCCAGGTACCCAAAAAGCAGGCGACTCAGACCCAGGCATCAGAACCACAAGATCTGGACCAGGTACCAGAGGAATTTCAGGGGCACGATCAGGTACCTGAACAACAAAGGCAGGGCCAGGCGCCTGAACAACAGCAGAGGCACAACCAGGTACCTGAACAAGAGCTGGATCAGAACCAGGCACCTGAACAGCCAGAGGTACAGGAACAGGCTGCTGAGCCTGCACAGGCAGAGGCTGAGGCAGAGGAACCTGAGTCATTACGAGTACATGCCCAGTTATTCCTGCCCCTGCTATCACAGAATCACCATGTGCTATTGCCACTACATTTGGATACTCAGGTGCTCATTCCGGTAGAGGAGCAAACTGAAGGATCGCCTCAGGCACAGGCTTGGACACTAGAAACCCCACAGGCAATTGACTCAATTCAAGCACTGATAGAGGGACTCTCAAGAGACTTGCTTCGAGCACCAAACTCAGATAACTCAAAGCCACTTGGTCCTTTGCAAATCCTGATGGAAAATCTGTCATTAAATAGGTTTTACTCACAACCAGAACAGGCACGGAAGAAAAAATCAAAAGTTTCTAGTCTGAGGCAAGCACTGGCAAAAAAACTATCACCAAAGAGGTTCAGGGCAAAGTCATCAAGGAGACCTGAAGAGCTTGAGCTTTCAGATTTAGAAGCCCGCAGGCAAAGGCGCCAGCACAGATGGGAAGATGTCTTTAATCAGCACGAGGAAGAATTGAGACAAGCTGATAAAGTAAGAGTTTTTGATATTTTCACTCTGAGTCAGAAATGAAGAGAAAATGTGATAGCTCATGCTGATTTTTTTCTGAAAAAAAAAAAAAAAGAAATATTCATTATGTTCCACAGAAAATATACTAAATAATTTGTACTTCAAATAAATTTTCTTGAAATTCTTAGATACTTGTGGCTAACTATGAGAAAAATATTTTTCACTATCTCTACTGAAATATAGCTTTAATTATTAATTTTCTGTCTGTTCCTTTAACCAATCAAGGGTCAACAAATGCACATTTAAAATTACTACTTTGGATCTTTAAAAATTACTTTCATAATTTAAAATTTCAAAGATAACTCATTAAAAAACAAGCGCAAAACAAAATTTGGTTTTATTACTCTAACCTTTAAGTTAGTTTATTATTTCTTCCGATAAAATGCTGAACTATACTATGAGAGTGAATAGTACTACAGGATGTTTAAATCAAGTTTAAAATGAGAAGGCAAAGCAGTTTCCAAAATATTTTGTATATGGTTACCATATTTATGACTTGTTTCAATAATGTGCTGCCAATTTTACATAGTAAATCAATTATGTGGCCTCACAGAACATGAAACAATTTACAAATTGTTCTCTTTGTTATAAGACCAACAGGTTCATATGTCCACTGCATAGTAACAGACCTGTTACACATATAGCAGCGATGCAGCTGTGGAAAAGTTTAATGATCAGCAGGGCATGGAGTTAGGAGGTGGGGAGGAGACCCTCAAATCCATCTTTTGGAGGAGTTCTGGGCTGGGATTTTTAAGAGGATTGTAGAGGGTGAGGTGCTGGATAATTGGAGTTGTTGATTGGTCAGGGCAAGGTTGATGGTCCTTGAAAATCATCAGGATGTAGAAACTGCATTTTTTGGTGAGGCAGCTTCTTATGGGGTCCTTCAGACCAGTTGACGTCAGTGGGGTCCTTCAGACCAGGTTATTGACAGTAGTTTCACTGGTATGAAAGACCTGAAAAAAATATCTCAAAGGGAAAACAACATTTCATAATGTTCAAGTTGTTATCTACAGAGCAGTTAAGGGGAATGATGATGTTGCAACAAGGTCTACGTGATTCTAGGAAAATAGGCCAGAAACACCTATTGAAGAAGGAGGCCAGAGAGCAAGCTGACCTAAAGTGTCGTGCTAAACGTGCTGCAAGCTTGGTATATTTTTGTTTCTCTCCCTCTCTTCTTCTGTGATTAATTTTATAAGGTAATAGTGGTGGTTTCATCTGTACCATTTTGAAATGTGGAATACAGTATGTTAAACTCCATTTTATCTAGGAACAGTCACTAAAATGTAATTGTTTCAAAAATTCTTTAATATAAAGTGGATAGGATTTGACTGGAGTTATTGAATTTAATCTTGTAGATTCCAAACTGATAATGAAGAGCTATGGGCTTAATAACAAATTAATGAGCTTAGATAAGATTAGGGAAGGAGTTGTTTTCTAATACTCCACCCATATTTGAGTAAAAGGAATCATTGTGATGATACTAACTTAAACCCTGATATCCACATCTATTTCCCTAATAATAATCGATGTAGTATTACAAACGAATTTTATCTGAGTGTCTAGATAAGGAATTCTTTGGGTTTGTGCATATTGAGCCAATTAAACAAATGCTAATTTGTTGACATGTTTAACAGGAGAAAAGGTAGAAGCAGCAAGAGACGCAAGTCTCAAAAGGGAAAATGGATGTCTAGCTCTCAGAAAAAAAAAAGGGAGGAACTATAAAGAGAAAAAAACTAGATGGTGAAGGGAGAGATTTAAGTCTAGAATTACATTTGGTAAAAACTAGCTCGTCTAAAATGCTAATGATTATTCTCAATGAACCCTAGTAATCAATTAAATCTAATGGGTTTTATATATATATGAGTAAGTCTTTTATTGATCTCTGAAAGGTTCAGTGTTACCAGCGTGGCACACACTTATTATCATTTATTTTTTTAAACATGTATGTGGAAAGCCATTCTAAAATATATAAACCTCAATAAATAATAGTTACAAATCTCATGACTCTAGGCTCTTGTACAAACATTTATATCTTTATATGTGGTCACTGAAGAAAATATAAAGGCAAAAAAATTGTTGATAAAATAGTCAAAGTCACAGATCTTTTGAAATACCTGAAATTTTATTAGAGTTGAGAGACATAGGTGACTACTTCAAGTAATCAACAGGAAACAAAAAATGCATTTTTTATTAATTTTTCAGTTGAAGAGATAGTATTGATTGGATTAAAGGGGAAAACAGTTTCCTAAACTCCTAGAGCTCAATTAGGGAGAAATATTTGCACCACTATATAACAAATCTTGCATTGCTCAGGAAGACCAAACTTTGAAGTTATAATAGCTTGCTAAACGTAACAGTTAGTTTGGTATTATTAGTTAATCAAGCTTTAAGCCAAAGATTCTTAACCTGGACCCTGTAGATGAACTTTGGGAGATCAGTAATCCATCAGAAAACATATGTAATATGTTTGTCTATATGCAGTTTTCTGTGGACAATCTGTAGCATTTCTCAGATTCTGAAAGGGATCCAGAACTAAACACTATTAAAAACTACTGGTTTAAATCATTTTTATTATTTGAATATTATTCTTTTAAATTATGTATTAAGATGATGAATTTGTTCCTATCACTTGCCTTTTGACAATTAAAATAGTTACTTTCCTTTTTGTTTCAAAGGACAACGAAGATGAATCATCAGACAATGATGAAGCCTTTCATTCGATTCAGGCTGAAGTCCAAATAGAACCATTGCAGCCATGCGTTTCAAATCCTAAAGTAATTGAGGTAAATTTTTTCAATATGAGTTGCTGTGACATTAGTAAGAACGCAGAACAGTGGTTCTTAAAATTTTGATCTCAGTGTCCCCTTATACTCTTAAACATTGAGGATCTCAAAAAACTTCATTTATTACATGGATTGTGTCATTTGGTATTTAACTTATTAAGTTAAAAATGAAAAATATTTAAAAATATATTCATTTAAAAGTAATGAAACTATTACATGTTAACATAAGAAACACATTTTTAGTGAAAACAAAAAAACTGTACTTTTCCAAAACAAAATTTTAGAGAGTGACATTGTTTTACATTTTTGTATGTCTCTTAAATCTGTCTTGCTTAATGAAAAACAGCTGGATTCGCCACATCTTCAATCTGTTTGCATATGTTGTTTTGGTTGAAGTATAGGAATAAAAGCTGGCTTCTCACATGTAGGTAGTTGGAGAGGGAGAATTTTCATAGATTGCTTAGATAATTGAACAAATTATTTAATAATATACCAAAACTAGAGAAGTGGAATCTGAAACCATATCGATGAAATTTTGTATATTCAGTTAATAATAAAACCCATTGGTCTATCTTATGCTGTGAATAAATGTTTTGCTGATGCATGATTTTTAACTTCATGCATTGGTCAGTTGGAAAATATTGGTTCACTTTGTATGTAGATCTTCCCAGACATTTACATGTTTCATTATACAAGATCAAAGAACAGCATTTGTTAATATCACCATCAAGTTCATCATAAAATTTATTGAATATTAAGTTGTCAAGTGCTTTATGGCAGATTGTTTGAAAATTCTAATTTTCCTTTGCAATCTCAAATTTTATCATTGCTAAATTATACCATCAGTTTTTCCCTTTAAATTGACAGGCTTACTTTATTCATTAAAAATAAAATGTCTACCAAATACCCATAGTCTAAATAATCATAGTTTGTCAGTCTTTCTTTAAGCAAAAATATTGTACATGAAAAATACTGGTAGTTTCAGTTTGTAACACAATCACACAAATATTTTTCCTTGATTTTCTCTGGTCGGGGATGTAGTTCGTGACAGAGTCTGGGTCATTTAATCTGTGGGTTTTATTCTGTTTTGTTTTTTGTTTTTACAATTATAAGAATAATTAAGTTAGTCCTAGTGTCCACTTGACTTCTGTTTTCATGACTATATCAGTAGTATCCTATTTAGTGCATATATTGGAGAGTCCAGAGTTGTAGGTTTTCTTGTCTAGACAAGGTAGCATCATTATCACAGCCAGTGTTCCTAACACAGTCAGCCATCTAAAACAATCTTTTTGTAGATTTTTTTGAACAATCAAGTAGATTAGGTGAGTGCCTGAAGAACTCAAACTCTTGCCTTATTGATGGTGGGTCAGGAACGTCATTGCTCCTAATCAGCACAAGATGTTTCACAGGAGTCTACTATGAAGTCTTTTGTAGACAACTCTCCTGTTTAAATACAATCCCCCTAATACTAACAGTCCTCTGAAGTGAATAACAAAGAGTATTGTTTTATAAATCCTAACCACTGGCAGAAGAAACATAAGCCAGATTGTATTATTTAATTAAAAGAAGCAATATGTCTTTTTATTTGCCTTATTGAATGATTTTACTCATACTTTCAGGTAATACTTATTGCCTTAAGCATGACTTAAGCAGGAAATGTAATGAGCTATGTCTGGTTTGAAATGCATCATTATCTTAGTATATGCTATTCTTACTAATCATTTTCCTCTCCACAGTTTTGAAATTAAATACAGCCAGTTTATATTAGGCATCATCTTTTTTATTTTTGATCGTTACCTATTTTAAGTAATTTTGGCCTCCAGTAGTGCCAATAAGCTTCCTAAGATCAACTTCGTAAACCAAAAAGCCCAGACTGGGTCATATGATCCCAATTATATGAATTGAAAATGAAAAAAAAAAAAAAATCAGCAGATGCTTACCCTGACCTACCTGTCTCTTGTAATGTAGACATAGCCTTGATAAGTCAGTTCATAAAGAAAAAATACTGTACTAAGGCTACTCTAATTTCTAGAAAGTATAAAATGAGTTTATCAGCATGAATATGCTAGACTTAAAAAGTAACATGTTGAAATGTCCTTTTTAAAGAATCTAGTATGACTGCCTTATTGCATGTCAGAATTACCTATGTTTTGAACAGCTAAAACTGCTTTGAGTAGAAGTGTGGTAATACGAGACTAAGTGAAGCAAAACAACATTCCCCGGCCCTGTCTACCGATGTTGGCAGAAAGTAAATTTCCCTTATTGATGGACGCTAGCAGAAAAAAATACTTTCTTACTTTCTTAAACATGGGGCAGTTTTGACTCAAGATATTTTAATGAAATGTATGTGGCTGTGTATGACAACTTTGGAAAATCTAGGGTTAACTTAAAAGGATGTGTGTGTAAGAATCTGAACTTAAATTCTGAGTGAGAAGTTTAAACTTGATATAAAAAGAAATGTGATAACATGTAAAGAACATTAAATTAGAAGTTGAGAGGCCTGCATTCTGATGTTAGATGTTCCTTTGACTTAATATAAAATTCTTAGGAAAGTCAATTTTCTCTTTTTGGGCTACAAATTCCTCAACAATAAATTAAGATTCTGATTATATGAGCTCCAGAATCTGTTCCTACACTAAAGATCAAAGATACCATCAGAAATTATGGTTAAACAAGTCTAATGTTATAAGTAATTATACAATAGTATATATTTATTAAAATCATATTTTATGAGTTAGACTGTTAGGAAAATATTTACGAAGACAGACATTTTCCCACACATTAATAGCTCCGAAGAACTTATTGAGAATTCTACTGAAGTATTGCATTGTGTCTTTAAGGTTCAAGAGAGTTCTTCTTCCGCGCCTAACAACCAGGATCATGCAAATCATGTGACGTTCTCTTCAAGGTACATATCTCTGATTTCTATATTAAAATTTCTCAAAATGAATTACAGAATGGAAAATAAAAATTATTTCATTTATACCACATTTTGTGAAATCAACTAAAATATCAATGACAATATCATCACCATTGACTATTGGCCCACATTTAAAACCTTAATTGCAATGATCCATTACCTATATCTTTCACATTTGTACATACTGCAGTTTCTGGGATACTTAGATTCACAAATTTAAAGTGAAACTAACAACAAATACTTTGACAGTGTTCAATTAGTAGTCGATGAAAAGACATGAAATTTCAAGTCAATTTTCATACATGTACTGCATGATAAAACACATACATACAAATTATTTCTGTAAGAAGTTAATGTCACAAAGTAAGTCTAAAAATGTCCTAGAGTCAAAATCAAATCTAAAACTCAATATTATGTCAATAAAATGTCATATATAATATTGATATCAATCACTGTATTTTTTGATCTTTGTAATATTGGTGATCTTCAATAATTTTCAAAGATCACATTCCACATTTTAGATATTGTGTGCAATGTGTCATATAGGAAAACCAAATTTTAAGGTAGATTTTTTAAGAAAATCATATCCTGTCAAGCCCCAATTCATACTAGAGGGAACTTAGCTTATATTGATTCACCGTCAGCAAATATATATAATACTTATTGAACACTCACCATACTCAAGATATTGGACAGTATGGTCAGATGGCATACAGTTAATATCATGTAGTATATATTTTCCTGCTTCATTATTTTAAAACCCCACACAATTATGTCTTCAGATTTAAGTGAAGTGTAGAAATTTTGAAAAATTATGAAGCAAGACTGGGAAATTTCTTTTTCTCTGTATTCAATTAATGGGTTGTCATAGTCTATCTGACCTCAAAGGAAAGAACCAGTTTAGCTTTGAGTAGTTGGTTTTGGTATAATGGAACATGACTTTAATAAAATCGAATATATAAAAACCACACTTGGTGTTAAACTCAAGAGTAATTGTTCACTTTACAAAAGGATTTTGAATTTATTAATAGCAAATACATTACTTTTAAATATAGTTAAATTTATAAAATTAAATGAAACTCAAGTCTTCCCAGAAATTTGGAGCCATTGAAAAAATTTTGTCTGTTCCAGGCCTAAATCAATAACCAAAGTCCTTCCCATATATAAATTCCACAATAACTATAAAATTTAGTAGCACTAGTCCAAAGCAACTCTCTAAATATTCCTTAAATTTGAATAGTAAGAACAAAAGTGCTCTATTTGTCTGTCAGTGTAGCTATCTAAATCATGAATGGGATGCTAAAAACATGAGTTTCAAGCATTTAAAATCCAGATAATAACAATAGAATATATGACATAACAGTAACTTATTTTGTTTATTATGTTAAAATACTCACATACACTATAATATTAAGTTTATTGCTGTGTTACTCAGATAATAATATTGTCTGAATATTAGCTTTAAAAGTTTATAGAAATTTTTAGAAATTAATATATATGTAAAGGAAACATACACTCTATAGAAACATTTATTTTTCATTTTGGAAAATGTTACTCTATTCTACACAAAATAGCAAGTTTGGGGGAAAATTGAAATTGGAAATTATTACTTAAGATCCTCTTTTTCGGTTTGATATATATCCATATATTTATAAAAAACTTTATGCTGGACTTTATGTTGAGTTGTACATTTCCTTTATGAATGTTAGGACATGGAACATGCTTTTCTGTCTTTTCATTAGTGTTCCTCAGCCATCTCTTTTGGAACAAGCTCAGAAGCCCATTGACATCAGACAAAGGAGTTCGCAAAATCGTCAGAATTGGCCGGCAGCATCAGGTGATTCAAAGCACGAAATTTCAGCAGGCAAAATATAGAGCTATTGTTTAACAATTTATATTTCAGAAGTTAAGAAAGAAGAATTTCAAGAAGGAATGAATAAAAAGTGTCAGGGAGGCCAAGTAGGATTAGGACCAGAAAGCCACTGTATTTGGCAATTGGGTGGTGGTCAGTGGTGGCCTTTGAGAAATGGAAAAAAATGTTTCTGAAGTTTCATCTTTTCATTGGACAGTAGTTAGGAATGCATCTAAGGGAGGTGGGTAGAGTTAACTTTATTAAGTTTCTATACCACGTATGAAAAATATGGTAAAGGAACTTGAGAGAGGCCTCTCCAACAAGCTAAAATTTATAGGTAGCAATTAGAACATTGTACGGAGGACTTCTGAATGACTTTCACTTATCAATTGGTTACTTCACCTCTCCAAAATAGGACAATATCTCATAAATATTCCTAAATGTTACAGAGTGATGGTTTTACTCAAAATACATGAACAATTAATCAATTACATCATAGAAAATAACTTTCAAAAGTTGTGATATGAATTTCAAACAAGTATTTTAAGATATGCATTTGAGAGAGTTTAAATCAATTATAAATTTGTCATATATTACTATAAACAAAGCCAAAAGTTGCACCACGGATCATGCAATCTGGCATTATCCAGTTTTAAGTGATCCAGGTAAGTTGAGCAAGGGAAAATTGGCTGATTGAGTCTCTGAGTAAAAATGTAGTATACTGATTTTATTAAAATGTTAATAATAAAAATGATACAGATATACTTCACTTTTTGAAAAGCAAATACTTGAAGATCTAAACTTAAAAACACAGTTTTTTCTTCTTAAGTGACTCAGATAATGGCAGAATTATTTTAAATAGTACTGTCTCCTCATACACAAATACTATGTTGTGAAAATTAGATAAGTCTGAGTGAAGAGAAAATTCTTAAAATTGTTTCCTCAGAGTCTTTTATTTCTGGCTTGACTAGGGCTAATTTTGCTAATACTGGGCAAAAAACTAAAATTTTGAGGTTTATTCATGTGGCATTTTTGAAATAAGGAAATTCTGTATTAGATCCCAAAGCAGTCATAACATTGATAGAAGGGAGAAGTCATCTGTGCAGATAATAGCTAAACATCTTTTCAGCTCCAAAATTCTGTTATTTTATTCTGTATGTTACATAGACCATTTGATATTCCCATGAGATTACATGCTTCATCATGGAGGAAGTCTCAGAGTACCTTACTACAAATTTGTCTGAAAATCTCAGTACACTCACTTGAACTTAATTTGATCTACTAACATACCAAAAGACTTAAAAGAAAATGGTTTCCTGAAAAAAAAAAAATCAGCAGAAATACAATAATGACAGAAGATGGGAACACAAATTGTAGCATGTGTTCAGTGTAATTTTATCACAAGACAACAGTATTTGAAAATATATGTATTTTGGAACTACAGTATCTATACTTTGGCTTTGTATACCAAGACCGAAAATAAGAGGAACAATAATATTTATCTTGAAAATCTAAGCACACAAAAACAATAAACAGGGACCTGAATTTTCTCTTAGTGAAGCCTTTTCTAAGTACACCCACCCAGACCTGAATTTTAAGCCTGTTAAATACTCTCACTGGATTTTAATAACAGGGGTTATTTACCATGCCACAATTCAATATTAAAAGCTAATCTCCAAACCAGATACATTTGTATTTTGAATAGAAATATTTACACTATAGAATTGAGCTGTTCAATGTGGTAGCAACTAGCCATATGTAGCTATTAAAATTTTAAAAACTAAAATAAAAAATAAAATTTAAAAGTTAGCTTCTCAGGCATACTGGCCACATTTCAAATGCCCTGTAGTCATTTGTGACTAATGACTAGTGTTAATGCACAGTGCAGATACAGAAAATTTCTATCGCTGCAGAAAGTTTTGTTGTACATTGCTGCTATAAAAATGTTCCCAGCTTTATAGAGAGGGGTAAGTGTTATCTCTTTTCAGCGGTTCACTCCTCAATTGTATTGAAATACATGTGGATATATCATTGGGAGAGAATTTCTGGGGGTTAAGATTGAAGAATGAACTCTCCTCTTGAGGGTTTTGGCTAGTGTATCATCTTCTAATAAATACACTGTCGATCTTTTTTTTCTGCTGGTCAGAATATGAGGCTACTGATACTCCCAGCCCTTCCTATTCTTGATCCATTCTTCTTTTTTTAATGTATCTACCCGGCTATCAGTCGTACAATGTATCTTCTTACATAGACAGAGATATTTGTCAAATGTACACTTAATATTGAAAACGGAGCAGCCATGTAGGTCTATAGATGGAAGAAAACTTGAACCTGCAAATAACCCCCTGAAAAGAGAATTTACGATCCTGGCCCCATGAGAATGTATCAGGTGATGTTTTCTGAATGAAATCACAAAAAGGACAAGAGAAACAACAAGGGATTTACCTGATACACTATACAAATGAAGGCAATGGCTGTAATCACTATTGTTGCTAATGTGTTTTTGGCATTCCATAGAATCTTCTTCTGAGGAAGAGAGTCCTGTGACTGGAAGAAGGTCCCAGTCATCACCACCTTATTCTACTATTGATCAGAAGTTGCTGGTTGACATCCATGTAAGTTTCCATCTTAATACATTAATATCTATTATTTTTGATGTTTCATTTGTTTTGACTTACACATTCTCATCTTCACTTAAGGAGAGATAGTTAAATAGTTTAGTTTTTTAAATTATTTTAAAGATAGATTTTCATTGCTTTGTGAATATATAGAACACAAAATCTAAAAATTAAAATTGAAATGGGAAAACACTTAACCAGAGAATATTTTATTTTCACATTCTTGTGTTAGTTAGAACACACCTGGGAGAGTAGTGATAAACAGCTATTTGTAAAAGCTAATCTCAGATTGAGATGTACAGGTTAGATGTCCAACTTTTAATAGCATTCCTTGAGTGATGAGGCAATGAATACAAATAAAACATTTAGTAAAAAATAGAGTGTCCTCTGATTGCATAAATAAAAAGTCTTCCAGCTCTTTGTGAACATGCTTAAATTGTTGTAATGCAGATTTTAAATTGTCCTAATGCTATGTGGTTTCAGATCATTCTATTTTACTTTTGTAATTATCTCTATGCTACCATACACATATCCCTTCCAGATTGCCCAAAAGTTGTTAAATGACACACATCATACTTAAAAGATGGATTTAGATTAATTTGCTCTTTGGAAGCGTTTGCAATATCTTAAGACAACCTATGGCACATAAAACCAGAGCTGGGAAATTAACATATCAATTTCAAGAGCTGTGTGTTAATCCCAACGTCAGGAGATAAAACAAAAGGGAAAAGTTACCATATTTAAAGAGCATCAAATCGCCTGTTCTCTCCAGCATCAAAAGTAAATGTCTACTTTTTTTGAGCAGACAAGTATGGGTGATTTTTTTTAAGTGAGTAAATTTGGCCTATCTGATCCTGAAAGGCTACTAATAATCAGTCTGGTGTTTGGGTTTTGACATCTCATCCTCACTAAAACTTTGGCTCTGTATAGTGAGTGAACATCCTTGCTTCAATTTAAAATATATTTCAAAATATTGTCAGCTTGGAAACTTTCAAATCTAGGAGAAAATGAAAGGCTGCTAGAGACTACATTAACCTTTCTTGTGCACACAGGTTCCAGATGGATTTAAAGTAGGAAAAATATCACCCCCTGTATACTTGACAAATGAATGGGTAGGCTATAATGCACTCTCTGAAATCTTCCGGAATGACTGGTTAACTCCTGCACCCATCAGTCAGCCACATGAAGAGGATGGTGATTATGTTGAACTCTATGATGTCGGTGCTGATACTGATGGTGATGAGGAGGATGAGTCTAATGATGCTTATGAAGATACCTATGATCTTGCCAATGGCATTGATGAACTGGATAACCAAGTTGATCAGGCTAATGATGTTTATGAAGACCATGATGATGACAACAATAAGGCTGTTGATGACGTAAATGATAATTATCAGGCGGCATCTCGTTGTCCAAGGTTGGTCTTTTTGAATTACTTATACTCTCCATGTTTTATAACTTCAGAAATATTTGTATCTTTAATGATTTATTTTCTTTTTATTTATTTATTTTTTTTTTAATTGCATTTTAGGTTTTGGGGTACATGTGATGAACATGCAAGATTGTTGCATAGGTACACACATGGCAGTGTGGTTTGCTGCCTTCTGTCCCCTCACCTGTATCTGTCATTTCTCCCCATGCTATCTATTCCCACCTCCCCACCCCCCCGCCCCTCCCCCATTTCCCCCCAATGGACCCCAGTGTGTAGTGCTCCCCTCCCTGTGTCCATGTGTTCTCATTGTTCAACACCCGCCTATGAGTGAGAATATACGGTGTTTGATTTTCAAAAATTATCATCAACAGAGTGACTTAATTTCACTTGCATTTTAGTAAATGGTTTGATTGTCAATAACATATTTTAAATTATTCTAATGCAGAACATCTAATTTTGTGTCATTTGTGTATTTTAAAGTAAGCATTCAAGTATTTATTAATTTCTTTATAACTGGAATTGCCTGAATGTTTCTGTTAAAATTCCTGCCACTGAATCATCCTACTCTATAAAACCATACTGAGTATGAGAAAGGACAACAGAGGAAGTGTGTAACTTAATAAGCATAAGGTGAAGTCTAGCTATTTGCAAACATAGCTATGCGTTTCTCAATCTTTTGTGATATTGCCATGTGTATAATAAATTTAAGATGATCCTTTTCTGTTTAATTAGTGGAGAAATTACCAAGAACTCTTTTGATTTTTTTCCAACTAAAACATTTGTCAAGAATTCCATTATGAAATAAGTTTACCACAGGCACATATATTTAATTTTGTTTCTTATGCAAAAAGAGAGCATTGAGACATTTTGTTAAGCTTAGTATTTTTGGTAATTAACTAAATGACTTAGTTCTACAAGATAAGAGTTTTGTACTGCTGAACTTCCTTGGTGGAAGCAGTAGAGCAATGGAGTTCTGTAGCAAAGCAGTCAGTACACATGTTAGAAAAACAAGGTAGATGTTATAATGAACACAAACTAGATATATTGCAAGAAGAATTAATCATGTTGTGGTTGAGCTAAAAATACAGTGTTAATCATTCATGTATCTGTGAGGTTGCTAGTGCATAAAATAGTATATATTTAAGAAAAAAACTACATACTCTTGCTGCTAGCCTAATACATCTACCTAAGAAAGAATACAAGTTCTCTTCCCTCTGCCATTCAAATGCATCAGGAAATTGGTGGTGGCTATGGCATTAATTCATTATGTAAGACTGACAAGACATAGGGACATTTTTCTTGTCTGTATCGTATTAGTAGTGTTCACATAGAGCAAAGACAAAACTGGGCATGGTAGATCTAAATAAGACACATCTCAATTCTGCTTTATTTGCTAACTTTCAAACGTGTTTTTATTGCGTGGCTTTCCTTCATTAATTGGAGCTTGTTATCAGGGCAAGCTATGGCAGAGATGGAAGCTACAAGCCAGGTGGTTATGATGGAAGACATAGTGTCAATAGCAGCCATGAAGGAAGTGCAGCCAGTGAAGACAATGCAGCCGCTGGAGATCAGGAAGAACATGCAGCCAATATAAGCAGTGAAAGAAGGGACAGTGCGGGTGATGGAGTTAAGGGAGTTATTCGAACCAGTGAAGAGAGTGGAGCCCTTGGACTCAATGGAAAAGAAAAATGCTCAGAGACAGACGGTCCAGGATTGAAGAGACCTGCATCTCAGGACTTTGAATATCTACAAGAGGTAATGCACCATTTGAAAAGCAGATTGAACTCCTCTCATTGCAAATCTGTTTATTCTGGGAGATACAGCATTTCCAGCCATTCCAAATAGATTTTAATCATATACCCCAAAGCCTTAAACATTTTTAATTATAGGTTCATAGGTAGATCCTTATTACTACTAATTTGCAGGGTCTATATTTACTTCCAAAGTCAAAGATCTCTTATTTGTTTGCCTTTATTACTCACATATTTGAAGTAGTGTCTCTTGACATACACTTTAAAAAGTATTTTAAAAATTAATTGACACATAATTGTATATGTTTATGGGGTACAGAGTGATATTTTAATATATCCAATTTGTAGTGATGACATCAGGATATTTGGCATGCCCATCAACTGAAACATTCATCATTTTTTGTGTTGGAAAGTATCCTCGCTTCTAGCTATTTAAAAATATATAATAAATTATTGTTAATTATAGTTACTCTACAGTGCTATAGATATTAGAACTTATATCTCCTGTCTAGTCATGAATTTGGATCCTTTAACCAGCCTTTCTATTGCTCTCTCCTATTCCTCTTCCCAGTGTCTAGAAACCACTATTTTACTCTCTACTTATATGAGATAGATATTTTTAGCATTTGCATATGAGTAAGAATATGCGATTTTTATCTTTCTGTTCCTGGTTTATTTCACTTAACATAACATTGAGTACAGGTTCATCCATGTTGCTGCAAATCACAAGATATCATTCTTTTGATGGCTAAATAACATTTCATTCTGTATATATGTCACATTTTCTTTATCAATTCATCTCTTGATGGATGCTTAGGCTGATTCCTTTTTTGGCTATTGTGATTAGTGCTGCAGTAAACATGGAGGTGCTAATAGCTCTTTGATATACTTATTTCCTCTTTTTTTGAGATATGTACCCAGTAGTGAAATTATTGGATTATATTGTAGTTCTACTTGTAGTTTTATGAAGAACCACAGTGCCATTCTACATTATTGGTGTAGTAGTTTACATTCCCACCAATCTTATATAAGAGTTTCCTTTTCTCCACATCACCCACACTTATTGTTTGTCTTTTGATAATAACCATTCTAACTAGGATGAGATGATATCTTATTGTGGTTCTGATTTGCATTTCCCAATGATTAATTACGTTGAAAATGTTTTCCTAGATTTATTGGTCATTTGTACGTCTTCTTTTGAGAAATGTTTATTAATCATTTGCCCATTTTAATTGGATTATTTCCTTTTCTTCTGTTGAGTTGTTTGAGTTTCTTACATTCTGGATTTTAATCCCTTGTCAGGTGAATAGCTTGCAAATATTTTCTCTCATTCTTCAGGTTGTTTCTTTACTTTGGTGATCATTTCCTTTTATGTGCAGAAGCTTTTTAGTATGATATAATTCTATTTGTCTATTTTTGCTTTTGTGGCCCGTGCTTTTGAGGTCTTAGTCTTAATTTTTTTCCCAAACCAATGTCTGGAAGCATTTCCTTATATTTTCTAGTAATTTTATAGTTTCAGATCTTACATTTACGTCTAATCTATTTTGAGTTGATTTTTGTATAAGGTGAGAAATAGGGGTCTAGTTTTAGTCTTTTGTATATGGATATTTGGTTCTTCCAGCACCATTTATTGAAGACATTGTTTTGTCCCCAATGAATATTCTTGATGCCTTCATCAAAAATCAACCACAATGAGATAAATAAATATGTGGATTTATTTATGGGTCCTCTATACTGTTCCTTTGGTATGTGTGTCTGTTTTTTGATTGCTGTGGTTTTGTAGTATATTTTGAAATCTGATATTGTGATGCCTCCAGTATTACTCTTTTTCTTCAGGATTGCTTTGGCTATTCTGGGTCTTTTTTGGTTCCATTCAAATTTTAGAATTTGTTTTCCTATTTCTGTGAAGAATGTCATTTATATTTTCATAAGGATTGCATAGAATCTGTATATTGCTTTGGATAGTAGGGTCATTTCAGCAATGTTAACTATTCTAGTCCATGAGCATAGGGTGCTTCTTCTTTTATGTGTGTGTGTGTGTCCTTTTCAGTTTCCTTCATCAATATTTTACAGTTTTTCTTATAGAGATATTTAACCTCATTGGTTAAATGTATTTCCAAATATTTTATTTTGTAGCCATTGTATATGGGATTGTTTTTGTCATTTCTTTCTCAGCTAGGTTGTTATTGGTATATACAAATGCTACAGATTTTTCTATGCAGATTTTATATCCTGAAAATTTACTAAATTTGTTTATCAATTCTAAGAATTTTTGGTGGTGTCAAAGGTTTTTCTAAGATCATGTCATATGTAAACAGACACAATCTGACTTCCTTATTTCCAATTTGGTTGTCTTCTATTTCCTTCTCTTGCAGAACTGATCTGATTAGGACTTTCAGAATTCAGTTGAATGAGAGTGGTGAAAGTGGGAATTTTTTTGTCTTATTCCCGTTCTTAGAGGAAATACTTCAGCTTTCTCCCAATCAGTGTGATCTTAGCTGTGGGATTTTCATATATGGTCTTTATTATTTTGAGGTATGTTACTTCCATACCTAAAGTGTGGAGAGTTTTTATCATGAAGGAATGTAAAATTTTATCAAATGCTTTTTTTTTCTTTTTTTTTTTTTTTATTGAGATAGAGTCTCTTGCTCTGTCACCCAGGCTGGGGTGCAGTGATGTGATCTTGGCTCACAGCAACCTTGGCCTCCTGGGTTCAAGCGATTCTCCTGCCTCAGCCTCCCGAGTAGCTGGGACTACAGGCATGTGCCACCACGCCCAGCTAATTTTTGTATTTTTAGTAGAGATGGAGTTTCACCATGTTGGCCAGGATGGTCTCTATCTATTGACCTGATCTACCCTCCTCAGCCTCCCAAAGTGCTGGGATTGCAGGCGTGAGCCACTGCTCCTGACTTTTCAAGTGTTTTTTTGGTATCTTTTGACAGGATCATATAATTTTTGTCTTTGATTCCATTGATGTGGTGTATCATGTTTATTGATTTGCATATGTTGAATCTCCCATGTATCCCTGGAATAAATTCCACTCAATCATGGTGTATAATATTTTTGATATGGTATTGAATTTAGTTTGCTAGTATTTTGTTCAGTATTTTTGCATCTATCTTCATCAGAGATATTGGCTTATAGTTTTCTTTATTTTTATTTATTTATTTATTTTTAAATTACACTTTAGATTCTGAGGTACATGTGAAGATCATGCAAGGTTGTTTCATGGCTACATACATGGCAAGGTGGTTTGCTGCCTCCATCTGCCCATCGCCTATATCTGGCATTTCTTTTTAAACCATTCTGCTATTCTATAAGTTTAATTACAGAATTTTGTCTGTTTACTGTCAAGTTTATTATTGATAGGTGAACACTTACTCCTGTCATTTTGTTGATTGTTTCTGATTGTTTTGTGTATCCCCCTTTTTTTTTAACCTATTCTCTTATTGTTAAACTTTGTGGTTAAGTAATCTTTTGTAGTGATAATGTTTAATTCCTTTCTCTTTCACCTTTCTGTACCTGCTTTACCAGTTTTATAATTTCATGTTTTCATGATAGTAGATATTGTCTTTTTTCTTTCACATGTAGGACTCCCTTAAGCATTTCTTATAACACCTGTCTAGTGATGAATTTTCTTACTTTTTACTTACATAGAAGAGGCTTTATTTCTTATTTATTTATTTATTTATTTAAGACAGAATCTCTTGCTCTATCACCCAGGCTGGAGTGCAGTGGTGTGATTTCGGCTCACTGCAACCTCTGCCTCCTGGGTTCAGGCAATTCTCCTGCTTCAACCTCCTGAGTAGCTGGGATTACAGGCATGCACCACCATGCCTGACTAATTTTTGTATTTTTAGTAAAGGCAGGGTTTCACCATGTTCGTCAGGCTGGTCTTGAACTCCTGACCTCATGATCCACCCACCCCAGCCTCCCAAAGTGCTAGCATTACAGGTGTGAACGACCACGCCTGACCTAGTCATCCTTTATTTCTGAAGAGTTGCTTTTCTGGGGATACTATTTTGTGCTAGCAGTGGTTTTTTTTTGTTTGTTTTTGTTTTTTGTTTTTTGTTTTTCAGCACTTTGAATATATCATCCTATTCTCTCCTGACCTGTAAGGTTTCTGTTCAGAAATCTGCTATTAGTCCAATGAGGAGTTCCTTATATGTGATGAGACTCTTCTTTTGCTGTTTTAGTATTCTCTCCTTGTCACTGACTTTTGACAGTTTCACTGTAATTTTTATTTGAGAGGGTCTTTTTGAGTTGAATGTATTTCAAAACTTTTGAGCTTTCTTAATCTGGATGTTCATATCTCTCCCAAGACTTGAGAAGTTTTCAGCTGTTATGTCATTAAATAATTTTCTATATATTTTCATCTTTCTGGAATCCCCATAATTCAACAAAACATCCTCTTACTGTTGTCCCATAAGTTTTATAGGCTCTCTTTATTTATTTTTCTCCTTTTTTCTTACCTACCTGGGTCATTTCTCTTTTTTTTTTTTTTTTTTTTTTTTGAGACGGAGTTTCGCTCTTGTTACCCAGGCTGGAGTGCAATGGCGCGATCTCGGCTCACCGCAACCTCCACCTCCTGGGTTCAAGCAATTCTCCTGCCTCAGCCTCCTGAGCTGGGATTACAGGCAGGCGCCACCATGCCCAGCTAATGTTTTGTATTTTTAGTAGAGACGGGGTTTCACCATGTTGACCAGGATGGTCTCGATCTCTCGACCTCGTGATCCACCCGCCTCGGCCTCCCAAAGTGCTGGGATTACAGGCTTGAGCCACTGCGCCCTGCCTGCCTGGGTCATTTCAAAAGACCTGTCTTCAAGTTCAGAAATTCTTTATTCTGCTTGGTGTAGTCAGCTGTTGAAGCTCTGTATTGTATTTTTTTTTTTAATTTTACTCATTGAACTCTTTATCTTCAATATTTTTGTTTGGTTCTTTTTAAATGATACCTATTCCTTTATTAACTTTCTCATTCAGATCATGATTTTTTTTAAAAAAAATTCATTGATTTGTCTATCTGTATTTTCTTGTATCATGTTGAGTTTCCTTAATATCATTATTATGAATTCTTTTTCTGGGACTTCACATTTTCTTTTCTGTTGGGTCTGCTACTGGAGACTTATTATGTTCGGTTTGAAGGTATCATGTTTCCTTATTTGTTAATATTTCTTGTATCCTTGTGTTGTTATCTGTTCATCTGGTGGAACAATCACTTCTTATGTTATGGAATGGCTTTCATAAGGAAAGACTTAGTACTATAGATGGATCCTGGGGTGTTGGTTGGGTGGGGTGCATTGACTTTGGCTCTGGGTGGATGCAGCAGCGTGGTCTCTATGCTGTAATCTACATTAGCGATGTTTGCTAGTACCTCAGTGGCCCAGGCTGCAAAAGTTTATGGTAGAGGTGGCACATCTTTGACAGGAGTGGGCTTGCCGGGCTGTTTCTCAGGCCAGAGGCACAAGTGTACATGCAGTGGATTGGGTGGATCATGAATTTTCTCTCCAGGATTGGGTTACCAGACTACTTCTATGGGCAAGGGTGTAGTCATACAGTTTGGGACAGCTGGCTTGGGGGTCTGGCTTTCTGGGATTAGGGCTACTGAGCTGTTTTTTGACCAAGGATGCAAGTGCACAGCAGTTAAGCCAGCCTAGAGTTGGCTTCACCACTGTGCACTACTGGAGTTATGGTTGGTCTTTCCTGGGCCCAAGATCTGAGCAGTCAGGGTCACAGCATTTCAGCCATCAATGGAGGCTTGGTGAAATTACAGTGGAGGCACGAGGCTGGAGAGGCACAGTGGTTAATGGTCCCCAGAGCATAGTGCATTTCAGCAATGGCTCTAGATTCAAGATGACACCAGGCTGCAGCAGCTTAGATCATGAGTTGGTGGAAAATACACAACTGTTGCTGCTTACCTGAAGGAATGCAGCCACAAGAATTTCAGGCACCTTCCCAAACTCAGCTCAGGGCTTGTGAGGACTATGAGATTATCCTGTAGTAAGTACTAGAATTCTCCGTGGTGGCAACTGGGACTAATGAGAGTCTTCTGCTTATCTTTTCTCAATAAGAATTCATTCCTGTCTCTGAGCTGATCATGGTAGGGGAGACGGGGCAGCAGAAGCAGAGTATCTCGCTTCCCTTTCTTTCCTGCCATTTTGATATTTCATGCTGCACAGTGACCTCACCACCCCATCACTGGACTCCAGCACTCTCCCTCAGACACACCAGTTGAATTCTAATTGTTTATTCATTCTCTTTGTCCTTTTTTATGAAGGGGACAAGCACCAGGTGCCACCAATAAGCTATCTTACTGAAATCACTCCAACCAGAGCCAATTATTTTTTTCTGGGAATATTTTTTTGATTGTGGTAAAATATACCTATCATAAAATTTACCATTTTGACCATTTTTACGTGTACAAATCAGTTGGATTTATTACATTCAGAATGTTGTGGGATTGTCATCACTATCCATTTCCAGAACTTTTTTTTATCATGCCAAACAAATTAAACAATTAAGTCTTGGTTTCCCTCTCCCCCAACCCCTGATAAACTCTATTCTACTTTTTTTCCTTGGTAGCTTGTATAAGTGGAATCATAAAGTATTTGTCCTTTTGTGTCTGGCTTGTTTCACTTTTCAGGTTTTCAGAGTTTATTCATGTTGTAGCATTTATCAGAATTTCATTCCGGTTCAAGGCTGAATAATATTTTGTCTTGTGCATATATCATATTTTGTTTATCCATTCATCTATTGATGGACACTTGGGTTGTTTCCACCTTTTGGTTATTGTGAATAGTGCTCCTGGGAGCATTGATATACAAGTATCTGTTTGGGTTTCTGCTTTTTTCAGGTTTTTTGGGGGGGTATATAGCTGGGAGTGGCATTGCTACATCATGTAATAAGTCTATGCTCTTTCATGAGTCAGTGCTCCTGTGCAAGCTGTTTCCTGTGGAAGGCTACCCTCTCACTTCTTCTCTGTTTGGTGAATTACTAATCTTTCATGGGCCAAATCAATATAATTCTTGACCTCCCAAGGCAGAATTATATACCCCTTCCTCTGTGCTTGCAAGCCTTTTGCCCATAATCCCATTTTAGTACTTATGGTATTGTTATTTTAATTTTTGCTTTCACACTATATTGTGAACTCTTAAAAGGAAAAAATTATATCTAATTCTTCCTTGATTATTTGTCTACCAACTCACCCAACTTCAGTGTGTAACCTAGGACATGACATATGATAAGCATATAGTAATTACGTAATAAATCAATAAAGGATGAAAACAAATTAATAAAAAGGAAGTAAGAAAGTTCCTTGAATGGTTTCTAATGGGAAAGCAGTGTCAGTGGGTAAATACCTGTCTGTTTATTATCTATCTATCTATCTATCTATCTATCTATCTATCTATCTGGCTGTCTGTCTGCCTGTCTGTCTATCTAAATTATAGACATTAAAACAGGATGTTCCAACATAAATTTCATAGCACCCCTGGTTATCTCCAGTTACCTTAAGGAATGTTTGGGAAATCTATAGAGGAAGTGGATCTTTCATTTCAACTTAGAAAGGACATGGTGTCAAACCATGTTTTTGTGGTTGAAAAGGTCATAAAAATCAGTCTTTTACAGAATAGCACAACTTTCTCAGTGCCAAGAATCACTGTTTAGACACAAGAACGAGCTTATCAACAGAAGGACTTACCAACAATAGTTCACATATTTTCCCACAGGACATGGCATACCACATAAATTGTCAAATTTTGTGGCTTTTATCCTCGACTATCTTCTTTGTAAGTTAATGGAAGCCAGCTACATATTCAGTGATGCATGTTTACACTCTTGAATTTGTGTTGGTTGATTTTCCTTCATTTTCTTTATCATTTGAAAATTATTTTTGCAGGTTCTTCATTCTTGCAGTGAAGTTACCATATAGTAGTGGAACAGACACCCCCACACTGTGCTTTACATTTTTTAAGAGGCTGTTTGGCATGACACAGCTGAATGTATGCTTTGGAATCAAACAGCTTTTGGTTTCAAAGTATACTTCCCCTACTTACTAGCACTATGACTGAATAGTTATTTACCGTCTCTAAATTTTAAATATGTATAAGTAAATTGGAGATAATTATAGTTACTTGTTGGGCTATGGTAAGGATTCACAAAGATATCTAAATATGATGCCTAGCACAGTAGATGATACATGGTAAAAATTCCACAAATGTTAGGTCCCAAATTGTACAGCTGGGAACCTATAGCTCCTTGCATTTTTCCTCTAATATCAGTCATCTCAACAATAGGTTAGTTTTCTCTCCTCTGATGACATTGTTGAGTTGTTTTCTAGTAAATGTGGATTTTATAAGAATGCAGATGTTATAGATCTTGCATTCTGTTCTTCAAACAACCCCTCACTAGGCATATTTCTCCCACTGTTAACCTGCTAATAAAATAAAAATTGGTCTTTGGACTTATTTTAGGAGCCAGGTGGTGGAAATGAGGCCTCAAATGCACTGTCAGCACCTGATGATGAGAATGACAATAAAGACATATCAGGATCATCAACACAGTCAGATTTTTCTGCCAGCCACTCTTCTCCTTCCAAAGGTTCTGGGAGATCTACTGATGCTGACTTTGCCAGTGCCATCTGTGAGTGTGTTTAATATAATCTCTAAATGCTGTTATCTGTTAACATATTAAATAGTGTTTAACCAGTGCTTTATGATTTGTTAGGAATCAAATTATTCTGAAATTCAGTTGAAATAAATTCTTCACTGAATCTTTATGGTACTTAAATTTGAGCTACAACTGAGAAATTGAATCCATTATCTAGATTTGTGTGTGTTATAATTACAATAACTAAAAATATATTCGTGTTCAACAATGTATTTTAGCCATCACGATTTGTCTTAGCTGATGGTTTCAGAGTTACTGAAACTATACTTCCAGTAAAAAATAAAATATAATAAAAAGAAAGAAATTTATTTTTTATTTTGCAACAAGATCTTGCTCTGTCATTTAGGCTGGATTACAGTGACGTGATCATGGTTTGCTGTAGCCTCAACCTCTGTTTCTTAATGATCCTCCCACCTTGGCCTCCCAAGTGCTTGGATTACAGGCGTGAGCCACCACACCTGGCCAAAGAAAATAAATTTGGCTAAGTTGTGTCTCGTTTGTGGAAACATTGTAGCCTATAAGCTGTATAGATTAATAATTTTAAACTTTTTTTCCATAACTCCATTAGGTGCAGATTTATTTGTTTGTTTGTTTATTTTTGAGACAGAGTTTTGCTCTTGTTTCCCAGGCTGAAGTGCAATGGCATAATCTCGATCTCGGCTCACAGCAGCCTCCACCCCCTGGGTTCAAGCTATTCTCCTGCCTCAACCTCCTGAGTAGCTGGGATTACAGGCATGTGCCACTATGCCCAGCTAATTTTGTATTTTTAGTAGAGGTAGGATTTCTCTGTGTTGGTCAGGCTGGTCTCGAACCCCCAACCTCAGGTGATGCCCTGCCTCAGCCTCCCAAAGTGCTAGGATTACAGGTGTGAGCCACCATGCCCAGCCCAGATTTTCCTTTTTAATTTTTTTTCTATAACTCTATCAGGCACAGAGCTAGTAATTTCTCTTATTATCTTCCCCTCATATCTTTGCAGTATATGCTGGATTCGTAGAAGTCCCTGAGGAATCACCTAAGCAACCCTCTGAGGTCAATGTTAATCCACTCTATGTCTCTCCTGCATGTACAAAACCACTAATCCACATGTATGAAAAGGAGTTCACTTCTGAGATCTGCTGTGGTTCTTTGTGGGGTAAGTTTGTTTTGTTTTGTTTTCATGTTTCAAACCTGCGAAAATAATAGACATAAAATATTTGTTTACTCTTACCAAACCATTACAATAAATTTATAGTAGCTAATTTGCTCAGAATTGGTTTTGCTGATTTTTTTTTTCACTCAGTGCAGTTTGATTTTAGAATTGATGGCCTCCACCTTTGTATTTTTTTTAAACCTGAGTTAACTTGAATAAAATATACAGTTGGACTAGGTTGTGATTTTTTGAAAATTTAAGATTAATATTTCTAACATATGATACTTTATGAGATATTTCAAGAAAGATTTCTGCAGGATCTTGCTTGTAAAAAGGTTTGGGAATTTGCAGAGAAAGTTCCTTCTATAATGTCTTAACTCTGATAGACTCTTTAAAATCCTTTGATTCAGAAAAATTATAACCACTCTGGAAATGCTGAGACAATATTTTACCTTAAGCCAAACTGAATCATAAATGAAACAGAATAAATGAATGCAAGGAAGGGAGAAATCCAAAGTAGGTGCCAACTTCTGTCTTGTAATTTCATAAATTTTGCTTAATGTGTGACTGAACAAAGGACAGGGTTTAAAATTAAAAATAGAAAAGGGTGGCAAACATTGTAATTATATGGATTAAAGAACTTAGAAAAAAGTCATCTCAAAGTTCTGCTAATTTAGTGTCTCAAACAACAAAATAGCATGAGCATTTCAGTCTGGTAACTACCCAGAAATGTAGATAATGTCTAATAACTCATTTTTATAACCCATAATTTTATATTCTGAAAAATAAAATATTATAGTAAAAATTGACTATACTTCTTCCTCCTTCTTTGATTCTCCTGTGAGAAGATGCAGCCCCTAAACATGCCACTGGCCGTGAGTTAGAGAACTGGTTAAGGATAGGGTAAGAAAATGAAGGCAAAATTGCTTAAGTTTTCTCCTATGCTCATGGAGCATAGGTATGCTCCAAGTGCAAGGAGGACTGTGAAATTTTATCTTGTTATACTACTTGGCTGGTTATCTCCTATGTCATTTTACAGTGAAAAGCTCCCACAGTAGTTTGAAGTACAATTTAACTTTAGTTCTGTCTTCTATTTCAGTCCTCTTATTTGGTTTTTAAACAGTGCTTAAATTTGAACAAATAGAGCCAGTCAACAAATAAAAGAGAGTCTAGAAATTCAGATACATGAAGGCAAGAGCTAATTTCACAGGCATTTGGCGATGGTAAATTTTTAATATATGCATGAACACAGAATCATTCAATTTAAAAACAATTATTTACATATAATTATTTTTAAAGCATTCAAACATTCACTTACATTTACAAATGAGAAATGAGCTGAACTGAACTCTTTGTATGTGGTAGACTAAGAATGTTTAATGGTAATTTTCAAAAAGGTTGATTGATTTTGATAAAGTTTAGAACACTACTAAAGGGTGCTAAGATATCCATAAATTTCCATTTGTGAGATGGCATATCAGACACCAGCCAGGGGAATATTGCCAGAGGGAATTATCTTCTATATTTTTATATATTTTGTTGAAATTTGTTCTGTTGGTAGAGAGTACATAGTTACACGGTATGAGGTCAATAGAGCCTATACTGATAAGTCATCTTTACATAGATCAACACACTGGAATAGCAAAAATAATAATATTGGTGCAATTATGAAAAATAATCTGAATTAATATAGCTCTTTTTATATATGAACAGGAGTCAATTTGCTGTTGGGAACCCGATCTAATCTATATCTGATGGACAGAAGTGGAAAGGCTGACATTACTAAACTTATAAGGCGAAGACCATTCCGCCAGATTCAAGTCTTAGAGCCACTCAATTTGCTGATTACCATCTCAGGTTTGTTTAAGAACTAAAATTAGCTGAGTAATTATGTAGATTAATTAGGCTGCAAACTAGGTTAAAGACTTTCTCGGTGAAAGTGTTCGTAGAAGAACACTTTAAATATAACCTTTAATTGGGACACCAGACTTTCCTACTTGTAATCTCTTATTTATTTACAATTTAAAGTAACTTCCTTTAATCATAAAATACCTTGCCTAAGTTACTGATAAGAAAAACCACACCATTTGCATCCTTATATGTTCTCTCCAGTGAAGCCTCTTACAAATTCAGATCTCCAATTTTCATCCACTCATGCACAGGACTGGATCAACATCCACCATGTCCCTTTCTTGTGATGTGTTAGAAGTAGCAAAGAACAAACTGAACAATAATCAGATATAAAAGAGTCTTGTCCTGAGTATAGCTTTATCACAAGGGCGTACAGATACGGAGTTTGTAACAAGAATGGATCCCCTAAAAATCTTTACACCTTTTCCAAATAGTAGTTAAATTTCTTAGTTTTGGTCGGTCAGAGCCTAAACCTTAGAATACAAGAGGACAAGTAAATGAATATTAAAAGTGATCATGATTACTAAACAGCACTTTGTATCAGGAAAGCATCCTTAAAGCTGACTAGTCTAGGCAAAAGATGACTGACAAAAGGAGAGGAAAAATAAGAAAATATGGTTTGTCTATGGAATAAAATGGTGTTAATCACAGTCACTTATATGAGTTTATGTATTTTATTGTATATATAACACGTTTTATGTATAGTTAGTGAACAAATTTCCATGTTGCACATTAATGATTATGTATTATTCCTAAAATGATTAACTTTACTTTAAGCTTCGATTAGAGGATAAATTCCTTTAGAGGTATGCATAGACTTCATGATTTTCTAAATCATGTTTTATAGTTTTTATAGTCATTTGCTTATAATTTTAAGGTACATAGAAGTAGTTTTTTAAAAAAAACATTTGGGTGGCTTGTAGGCTACATATTTGTGTAACACATTTCTTTACTTTTTATCCAACTTTCTCTAACCAAAATGTGTTCTTCTCTAATGTTTGGGCTTCTCTCAAATGTGGAATATTTTTCCATTAGACAGTACTGAGAACATCAGTATAAGAAGATACTCAGTAGTTGAAAGCACAAATTTATTTTGCCATTTAAGAAATATAATAGCCCTAGTGTATTAGTCCGTTCTCATGCTGCTATAAGGACATACATGAGACTGGGTAATTTATAAAGGAAAGGAGTTTAATTGACTCACAGTTCCACATGGCTGGGGAGTCCTCAAGAAACTTACAATCATGGCAGAAGGGGAAGCAAACATGTCCTTCTTCACATGGCAGAAGCAAGGAGAAGTGCAGAGTAAAGTGTGGGAAAGCCCCTTAAAAAACCATCAGATTTTGTGAGAACTCACTATCATGAGAAAAGCATGGAGGTAACCGCCCCCATGATTCAATTATCTCTCCCAATGGGTCCCTCTCTGAACACATGGGTATTACAATTTAGATTACAATTCAAGACCATATCACATAGACGTAGATATCTGAACCCTAACACTGCTTCAAAACTGTTACATAAAAACATATGAAAGATTAATCACATAAGAGTCCTATTGTTGGGCCTAGAAATCATGTCATAATAAACCATAAAAATGACAAAGATAAATGATTATAGTCACTTTATGGGGGTAAAGCAATGTGTGATTTTTTTCATGGCCTGTTTTCTGACCAAATTATAAGAATTTGATGGGATTTACAGTTAGGAAATTAATAAATGATAAATTGAGTTGGGGGGAAATATAATGAAACTGTTCAACTATTTTATAAGCATGCTAGAATGACAGAATACAAAGATACCCATAATGCTGTCCCTTAATATCTTAACAGTCAATATTCAGCCACCCATCTCACACACACACTACCAGGGACAGCTTCTAGGTCTCTGAACCCCAGAGCAGTCATGACTTAGTGAATAGCCAAGGTACAAATAAATGGATGGCAATTATCCTGCCTGTGTAGTGTAAGGGTTAACCTGTCCCCCAAAAAATGTTTAGATACACTTCAGAGAGGCACATAGTTAGATATTTTGACTATCTCTTAGAATTGAGAGACTAAAATCGTCTGTTAAATTTCCAAACCCTGAATGGGAGATTCTGATGCAATGTAGTTTTCTAAAAAGTCCTTGTTAAGTTAATAAAAATATTTTTAAAAGGAAAAATACCTTTACATTTTATTCTTCTAATATACAAAAAGAAAGACTGACTTGAAATAGTATATCTTTTCTTATATATCAGGTCATAAGAACAGACTTCGGGTGTATCATCTGACCTGGCTGAGGAACAAGATTTTGAATAATGATCCAGAAAGTAAAAGAAGGCAAGAAGAAATGCTGAAGACAGAGGAAGCCTGCAAAGCTATTGATAAGTTAACAGGCTGTGAACACTTCAGTGTCCGTAAGCCACTTTCATATTTACTACAGCTATATTAATTTTGCATCCTTTCATCTGGTGAAGTACATAATTATGAAAGGCAAAGTAGAGAAAGGAAACAATTTGCAGTTTCAAATACAGACAAGATCAGGTTCTTTCAGTGGTGGTATGGCTATAGACAGCAACTTCAGGCCAAGGAAGAGTACATTTCACTGACACATCTTCCAAGTCTTCTGTGTTACAATCTTGATTGTTTTTGAGAAAATATTGATTGACTAAAACAGCTATTGATGTTAGGTTTGGTTTATCTCTCATCTTACTTTCTTTCCCAGTCACTCTGAATATTCCAGATAAACCAATATTATTTTCCTGCCTCTATATAGCTTCAACTGTATAAATGATCTTGATTTATCTTCACAAACTTGGGGAGACTCATGAATATTCTCTTTCTTTGGAACAACAGTAAGATGGAATCTCTCCTAATACTGACCAGGAAACCTAATGATGAGTCAGAAAGTAAATTCTTCTATAATCTGCTGACTCTCACTCTCACTGTTGATATTCATGAGTATGATCACTATTTTCTGTCTGATTAGAATGTTTTCATATCCCTTGTCCCTTCACAACCATCCACTGTGAAATTGGGTAACAATCCTAAGAATCCTGCTCTCAGCTATAAAAAACTTTGAGCTAATGTCATCCCATTCTGTTCTATTTCTGAAGCAAATCCCCCTCTACTCTCAGCCTTATTTTGCTTCTTTCCCTCTTCATTAATTGCCTCTTCGGGCAGAACTGATGGCATAGGTGGCAAATAGTTGAAATCACATTATATAAACTGCAGTGGGATATTTCTATCCTGACTTACCATTATTGTTTTGCATATAAAGTGACTTTTTCTCAGCATAGGTTTTTGCATGTATCTGCATATGTACACATATACAATTAAAGAGGGAATTGAGTACGCAGATAACTTAAGCATTAAATAAATACACTATTTTCTTCTAGGTTTAGGTGTCACTATTTCACTCCAAATCATATTATGCAAATGTGATAGCCCCAGATGTGAAAGACAGCCCCAGATGTTAATTCAGGAGTTTATATAGCAAAACTACCTCCTACTAACTTGTGAAATATTCGTTCAATAAGAGATAGTCACAAAGGTACTCATCTTGCAAATCTGTGCTCTTTGTAAGGGGTGAGCTAGTTAAGTTTAATTTTCCTAGTTGACCCCATTCCAGTCCACCTAAGCTCTCAGAACAGCAAAAAACATTTGTCTCACTGACAGGCGGAATAGTAGCATCTTCACATAGGAAGATAAGAACAGACCATACTTGCCTGACATTTTCATAGCCTTCCAAGATCCACAAGACGGCGAACTGGCACCAATTGCTGCCCTATATTGAATGTATAGGAAGCGTCTTCTTAAGAGAGAATACCTTTGATTTTGGGGGTTTAGCCATCATGCGCATTTGACTTACTTGGAAGCAATGCAAAAGAAAATGCAAGAGTAAGGTAGACCCAGAGAAAGAGAGAGAGAAAGAGAGGGAGCAAGTATGCCTAGTTCTGGCAGAAGAAATTGCAGCCAAGGAAGAGGGATTTTAGCACAACGTATAAATCTATCAAGTAAGACAACATATTCTATAAGAAATAGAAGGCCTAATCAAGAGCAAGCATATACTTATTTGTACTTTTATTTTTTATTTTTTATTTTTTTATTTTTTTATTATTTTTATTTTTTTTTTATTGCATTTTAGGTTTTGGGGTACATGTGATGAACATGCAAGATTGTTGCATAGGTACACACACAGCAGTGTGGTTTGCTGCCTTCCGTCCCCTCACCTGTATCTGTCATTTCTCCCCATGCTATCTCTTCCCACCTCCCCACCCCCCCACCCCTCCCACATTTCCCCCCAACGGACCCCAGTGTGTAGTGCTCCCCTCCCTGTGTCCATATGTTCTTATTGTTCAACACCCGCCTATGAGTGAGAATATACGGTGTTTGATTTTCTGCTCTTGTGTCAGTTTGCTGAGAATGATGGTTTCCAGGTTCATCCATGTCCCTACAAAGGACATGAACTCATCGTTTTTGATGGCTGCGTAGTATTCCATGGTGTATATGTACCACATTTTCCCTATCCAGTCTATCATCGTTGGGCATTTGGGTTGGTTCCAGGTCTTTGCTATTGTAAACAGTGCTGCAATGAACATTCGTGTACACGTGTCCTTGTAGTAGAATGATTTATAATCCTTTGGATATATACCCAGTAATTTATCTTTTAAAATAGCCCTATTAAAATAATTTACATACTATGAGATACACTTGTTTATAGTGGACAATTCAATGGGTTTTAGTAGGTCTATAGAGTTGTGTAGATCACCATGACGTAATTTTTATAATCCCCCAAAAAACCCCATATTCATTAACAGTTACCCCAATTCCATCCCTCTTTACTTCCCCTTCTTCCCCTCACAATCCTAGGTAATCACTGATAAACTGATAAATGGTTACCCAGGACTTTTTTTTCTCTATAGATTTGCCTCTTCTAGGCAATTACTATAAATGGAACCATATGTTATGTTGTGTTTTGTGACAGACTTTTACTTAGCACAATATTTTCAAGGTTTGGCTATGTTATATTATATATATAACATGTACCAGTAATTCCTTTTTATTGCTGAGTAGTATTGCATTGTATGGATATACCACATTTTGTTTATCCATATGTAGGTTAATGGACATTTGCACTCTTTCCACTTTTTGGCTATTAAAAATAATACTACATGGATAAATCTGGAAACCATCATTCTCAGCAAACTGACACAAGAACAGAAAACCAAACACCGCATATTATTACTCATAGGCAAGTGTTGAACAATTAGAACACATGGACACAGGGAGGGGGGCACCACACACTGTGGTCAGTTGGGGGAGTCTAGGGGAAGGACAGCGAGGGTTGAGGAGGGTGGGGAGGGATAACGAGGGGAGAAATACCAGATATAGGTGATAGGGGGGGGATGAAGGTAGCAAACTACCTTGCCATCTATGTACCTATGCAACAATCCAGCATGATCTGCACATTTACCCCAGAACCTAAAATACAATAAAAAAAAATAATAGTGCTACTGTGAACATTTCATACATCTTTGTATGTGGATATGTATGGTTTTTTCTCTTGGATAGTATTGTTACACTGTTTTTCAACATGGTTGCACCGTTTCACATTGCTATCAGTTAATGTATGAGGGCTCTACTTTCTCAGTATCCTTGTGAGCACCTGTAGATATCTGTCTTTTGATTCTAGCCATCCCCATGGGTGTAAAGTGGGATGTCATAAAAGTTTCAATTTGCAGTTACCTCATGATTAATGTTTTTGACTACCTTTACATGTTTACTGACCATTTGGAGACATGTCTATTCAAGTCCTTTGCCTGTTTTTTAATTGGTTCTCATGTCCTTCTGCTGTTGAGTTATAAGCATTTTTTAAGTATTCCGTATACTAGACTCTTTTAATTTAATTTAATTTAATTTAATTTAATTTAATTTAATTTAATTTAATTTTTTGAGACAGAGTCTTACTCTATCACCCAGGTCAGATTGTAGTGGAGCAATCTCAGCTCACTGCAACCTCCTCCTCCTGGGTTCAAGCAATTATCCTGCCTCAGCCTCCCGAGTAGCTGGGATTACAGGTGCTCACCACCATACCCAGCTAATTTTTGTCCAAAAATATATATATACACACATATATATTTTTTAAGTAGAGATGGAGTTTCACCATGTTGGCCAGGCTGGTCTCAAACTCCTGTCCTCAAGTGATCCACCCACCTTGGCCTCCAAAAGTGCTGGGAATGCAAGCGAGAGCCACCAACCCCAGCCATATAGTAGACTCTCATCAGAATTTGATTTAGAAATATGTTTTGTATTCTGTAGGTTGTATTTTCACTTTCTTAGTAGTTTCTCTTGGTGCCCTAAAATTTTAATTTTGATGAAGCCTAATTTATCTTTTTTTCTTTTCTTGCTTTATACTTTGGTATCAAATATAAGAATTCATTGCTATATTCAAGGTCATCAAGACGTATCCCCGTGTTTACTTCCAAGAATTTTATTGTTTTAGCTTTTACATTTATGTATTTGATCAATTTTGGGGTTAATTTTGTATATGGTATGAGATTTGGGCTCCAACTTTAATGTTTTTCATAGGTATATCCAGTTGTCCCAGCACCATTTGTTGAAAAGACTGTTATTTCCTTATTGAATGGTATAACACCACTGACCATAGATGTAAGGGTTTGTTTTTCAACTTCGTTTTAGTCCATTGATCTATATGCCTATCCTTACGTTATTTAGTGCCACACTTCTTTGATTACTGTAACTTGTAGTAAGCTTTGAAATTGGAAAGTGTGAGTTCTCCAACTTTGATTTTCTTTTTCAAGATTATTTGGCTATTAGAAGCTTCTTAAGATTCCATGTGAAATTTAGGATTAACTTTTCCATTTCTTCACTAAAAGGCCATTTGGATTTTAATAGGGATTGCATTGAATCTATGGAGATAATTTTGGACAGTATTGCTATTTCAACAATGTTAAATCTACCTATCTATGAACAGGAGAATTTGTCCATTTATTTATATCTTTAATTTCTTGCATCAATGTTTCCAGTGTACAATTTAGAATGCTCTTGAAGGCAAATATGTATACTCCATAAAACCATACAGTAATCTTGTCACCTTTTTGTGGGCATCAAATTGTAACCAAGTAGCTTCCCCAAAAATATACTGTCTGTGCCCTTAAATTGTGGTTATGGCACTTTTTATGATAAATACAAATACTTAAGTGTTCTTGTTAATTCTGTGGCATCATTACTTTTTTCTGTTTTATCATTGTAGTCCAACATGAAGAAACAACATATATTGCAATTGCTTTAAAATCATCAATTCACCTTTATGCATGGGCACCGAAGTCCTTTGATGAAAGCACTGCTATTAAAGTGAGTGATCTCCTTTTCCTTTGGATTATATGATTTTTTATTTTGAGAATAAATTGTGAACAGAATCATACTTTCGAATACAGATGTAGAAGTGTATACCATTCTTCTATAGTTAATACAATTTCATTGTTACTTTTCTTGCTTGTTTGTTTATTTTTTTAGAGACAGGGTATCATTAATGGCCCAGGCTAGAGTGCAGTGGCATGATCATAGCTCACTGCAGCCTTGATCTCCTGGGCTCAAGCCATCCTCCCACCTCAGCCTCCCAAGTAGCTAGGACTACTGGCACACATTATGCCTGGTTAATTTTTAATTTTTTTTGTCGATATGGGGTCTTACTAATGTAACTTGAATATACCATGTCAGTAATTACTGTTAACCCTTTTTTAGGCAATTCACAAGCACCACAGCAAGGGAGAATGCGAGGCAAATCCCTGGCCCCTCCCCTTATAAGACTGCCTCATCAGCGCCTCACTCCCAATTCCTGTAGTCAACATGAAGACCTTCTCTTCTAGAGCCCCAAACACAGGCTTTGGGTGCCATCCAAATGACGTGAAGCTGAGAAAGTCCCTGTTCTCTCTTAGTGGGGGGTGGAGAGCAGAGGGAAGGTAAAGAAAGGTGTGACAATTATAGAGAGGGAACACTCTTGGAAGAAAAAGGAGGGAAAAGAAAGCCTTTGCTCCAGTTACCATGGTCACAGTAGGTGGGGATGGGAAGGAGTTCAGTGGGTCCATATTCTTTCCAAGCTGGAACTCTAAGCAGACTTCTCTCTAGAACTATTAATATTGTGAGCCATGGTGATTAGGCTTACCAGTACTCTTTCTACCTTTATTTTGGTTTAGCTGAACTTCTATGAATCAGCCACATAAGTTAACAATTTAGTGTCCCAAACAACTAACCTTAAGAATGGGGAATTATTTTTATCTAGAGTAACTTACTTATAATGCTCCAGAATTTTACTTAAATGGAATTATTTTGTATTTATTCCATATGAGGGTTGACTAAAGAACTGGCAGCATTCTATCATGTCCAGTAGCTTCTAATGGATGTACATCAGAATTAGCAGGAACATCTGTTAAAAGTTTAGATCTCAGACCCAACACCAGACTGAATTAGTGGGTCTGGAGCAGGGCCTGGGAACTGATATTTTTAGCAGATGTTCCAGGTGATTTTTAACTAGTTGATCCATAGACAGGTTTTAACAAAGCACGGTAGTGACCCATCCTGATAGACGCAGCAAAGTATTCATGAAATGCTTTTGTATCTTAAGTCAAGATCTGTTTACATGGTATATTTTGTAAGGGAACACATTGCATGTATGCAATAAAGATGAGCAAATTCTTATGACTACCTGCCAATGTCTATTTTCAAAATAGCTATGTTCTTCTATAAATAGTGTAGATGACTGTATATACCATCTGAGTCAGCCCTTACACAGATCACATCCCTGATCTGATCTCCCTAAATTGGGCCTTGGGTCAGCTGTCAGTATTTGGATATGAGTTCATTCTTGGGTGTCTGCTGATTGGTCAGAGCTGCCTGGTATGGAGCTGGAAGGCGAAGAGATAAGTACCAACAGTCTGTCTAGCCTGATGCACAATTCTTGTCCAAGTCCTCACTGCAGTTCTTGAATCCAACCTCACAACTACAGTATGGTGAATCCTGTGATGCTCAGTTCTCTACGATGATCTGATCTTGGCAATGAATCATGTTTGGCCTTTTGTTTTAGACTAGAAACCATAAGAGCCTAGTGTACTACCAAGTGTATAGTAGGTTAATATGTCTGGCCCTTTTCATTCCCTACCAAGTATGCACTGATCAATCAGCAGACTCTGAAGGAGACTACATGTCCTATGAAGCCTATATACGAATACTGGCAAAAATACAGGCAGCTGATCCAGCGAACCGGTTTAAGAGACCAGATGAGCTCCTTCATTTGCTGAAGCTCAAGGCAAGGAACTTGAAGACAGCAAACAGAATGCAGGGCCATACAAGGCTCTTATGATCATTGCCAATCTGACCTTTGAAGAGAAACTCAATATTTTGAAGCTATTGAACATAATTATTTCTTTGTTGTAATAACAGATCTAAGAAAAACTGTAATACATGGGTCTCTAAAAACAACATGCCATTTAAAATATCCACCTGGGTTTTGTACACTTAAATACCTGACAAAAGAGTGAGGGAATTTTTTGCCTTAGTTAGAATGTCATTTTTGGCCTTTTGGCCTTATTTGGTTTTATATTCACAGGTATTTCCAACGCTTGATCATAAGCCAGTGACAGTTGACCTGGCTATTGGTTCTGAAAAAAGACTAAAGATTTTCTTCAGCTCAGCAGATGGATATCACATCATCGATGCAGAATCTGAGGTTATGTCTGATGTGACCCTGCCAAATAATGTAAGATAATACCTTCAAATTCCTAGAAATTGTTGCATACCACCATTTGAGTTTTTCCAACTGTCAAAATTCTGAAAGGTTTAAAACTATGATTAGCAATGTCTATACTGGAACTGAGACATAAAAGGTAAGTATAAAGTGCCAGAAAGTAGTCTTGTATAAGCAAAAGACACTGATGATCCCTTAGTTTAGAAAGCTGAGTGTATTATGCAGATAGATATTGCTTGTCTTGCCTAGTGTTTTTTTTGTTTGTTTGTTTGTTTGTTTGTTTGTTTGTTTTTTGTTTTGTTTTGTAATGAATAACGTTTGCCCTTAAAACCTGGACTTCTCTTGATACATCAGAAGACCTGACAGCATCAGTTCCACATGACTAGCCATTATCAATTGGAATTGATTCATGTAAGGCTCCTTTTAGATAGGATATATGCTCTACATTCTCTATCCATTTATGTTTGTATATTTATAATAACTGACCCTAATATGCGTTTAGTTTTGCAGTAAATGCTTTAGATTTTCTGTACTCCACGATGCATTAATAGATTTTTTAAAAATACAACACCAGTATTGTAGCATTATTATGTGTATCCCTACTCTTTATTATATTATTTCAACTGTGACAAAACAGCATATTATCATAAAATGTTCTCTTATCAAGTTAATTATAGCTGGAATTTCTGATCAGAAATTCAGCCTTTTAAAGCAGATACTCAACTCTTAAATCATTATATTTTGTGAAAATATGGCACAACATCTAAAATATGGATTGTTGTAAAAATATTATACACATCATTTACATAAAGAGTTTGAACATAATGTAATATCCCTCACACACACCACACAAAATGTAATTCTACTGTGTCTCAAATTTGATGTTGGCAATGATGTTTGTCCTATTGAATTTTTTATTTAAAAGGAAGGCCTAAACCAACAGTTCTCTGCTTCAATTTAAGTGCCTAATTTGTAGACAACCAAAATTTTAGCACTTTAGCATTATACAAAAAGTCCAGGAGAAACCTTTGATGTACTTTCAAATTACAATTGAGTGATATTTTGAGCAGCTCTCAGAATTATCTCATTATATCTCTAACAAATTACATAAACCAATTGTCAGGACATTAGTGGGGACTTTTTTTTTTTTCATTATACTTTAAGTTCTGGGGTATGTGTGCAGAGCATGCAGGATTGTTACATAGGTATACCCATGACATTTTTTTAAAAGTCTTTTGGTCATATTAATGATAATCAGCTTATTACTCAGTTGCCCATGATTATATAGAAATCACACTGCTTATAATGCAGAAAATACTGAACCAATCTTAACCAAAGTCACTTAGACATGAGGTCAGGTTAATTTTGATACAGCTATTCTTGTACTCTTCAGTTGGAGTGTTTTCCATAGCTTTCTGCATCGTTTTTTGTGTTGTATCACGTAGCTCTTATTAAGAAGTTAGTGCAGCATTGAACATTGCAGCATTGGTCCACGTTTACACTTAATTGAAAAGTAATTTAGGAATATTGAACCCTGCGTTTCACATGATTAATAAGCAAGAAAGGTTATTTTTGAAGCAATTTGCTAGTTACTGTGGAAGCTGGAACGAGAGATGAGTTCTTAAAAATCACTTTCTGACCCAGTTAGGATACCTTGTGTATATTCAAAAATATTTTTAGCTAAATGCTCTAGTGTCTTGACCCATTAAAAGAGAAAGGACTCTAATATCAGGGAGGGGGGTGTCTTCTGAGAAAAAATGTACTGAACATAATGTTTTTCCAAGAGTGCTAGATTACAAAAGCTGTAATGATACAAGGGAACCATGTGTGCTAAAAAATATCTGGTTACTCCAGGAATCATCTGAGAAGCATCTGAGGCTGTCTGGATTTGCAGCAGTCCAGTTTTTTTCTAAACAGATTTTATTGAGACAATCTTCTTTCCTGCAATTTCTTTTATTCTCTTCCTTTATCTTTTTTTCTGATTCAATTACTGATGCAAGTGCCCAGGGAACGCATTAAAATTGCTTTTCGCCTCTGGATCCCCGTTTTAGTTATAAGGATTGTTGTTGCTGAGACACGGCCTCAAGTACCTGGCCTGAGTACGCTGGGTTTGGCAAGTATAGTTTCTGACCTTTTATTTTTTTTGGTAGTAGTTTGGAGAAACCATAGGGGAACACAATTTTTCATTTGCAGGGAAATACTGTTAATGTGGCAGTATTTGTAGTTTAAGAAAACTTTGTTGCATTGTTTTGTACATCATGAAATTTAGAAATGCTTAGATATTTCTTAATATTTCATATTATGTCACCAAATATGTCTTTGAATATGTATGTTAAATACATACTAAATTATATTAATTGAAAAAGAAATTCTAAATTTTTGCAAAGGGGGAAATGACTTAAAGTTATATTTTAAGCTGTGAAGACTATTATAAAGCTGCCCCTTGTAAGCATTTTAAGCTCAAGCTATTTTTTTAGATTAGTTCCCTATTTCTAATTTGAATGAGTTAGCTGATAACCAAGTATTCTATATTTGTTATTTGGTTTATACACTCATTACTAAACTATTTATTAATGTACTGAAATTAATCTTAAACCCATCTGTAGCAAGAAATGTTTCTTCTATCATGATACACAATATTTTGTGAAACGTCAAAAAATCTGTGTTGGAAATACATCTTTGCTTTTTTAATATAAGGCTTTCTCCTAAATATCAAGAAAAATATTTAAAAGTTATGGCTTTATGACATAAAGAAAGCAGCTCTTTTCAAATACTGGATGGCATGCTTATTAATTTGGAAATAGAGGTTTCTCTTCCTCCTTGCTCTTTGAACCTCTTTTGGTCTTCATTGCCCAGCCAAGCTGCTTCGATCAAAATAGTAGTAATAAAATGTTGGACATACAAATCTTTATGAAACATAATTCCAGCCCCTGGAAATCATTATACCACAGAATATCATCATTTTACCTGATTGCTTGGGAATTGGCATGATGCTCACCTTCAATGCTGAAGCCCTCTCTGTGGAAGCAAATGAACAACTCTTCAAGAAGATCCTTGAAATGTGGAAAGACATACCATCTTCTATAGGTATGTATACGATTTCTTTCTCCTTCATGACCCCAGAGAAACTTTCCAAGGGTTAAAAAAAAGTGTCCTAAGAAAATATTTCCTGAATTATTACATTTCCTTAAGACACATAAGATTAATTTGGGGTTCTGCATATTTATTCCCTTAGTAAGGTAATGCCTGTATTTGCCCTATGCTTAATGAATTCATGAGAGTACCACAAAGAGACTCATTTTGGTTATCTGAGTTATTTGTAATATTCTATAATTGAAACAAGAGCAAAAAACAAAATTCTGTAATTTTGTTTTAACTTCTTTTACTTGCAGACTTCACACAGTTACTGAAAATGCTTCTTTTCATCACACTGATTGTGGGGTACATCCTTATCTTAGGAGACTGCCAACTAGTATAAAAGAAGAACCAAATACTTTTATTTTGCACAGTCAGTAGAGTTCTATTTTGTGAGTTATATGCCTGTGAATGATCAAATCATTTAGAAAAGTGATAGATATCACTGATTGGAGTGCCTGTTAGATACCACCCAGGTGACAACAAAGAAAATTGCCTTTTCATCTTCATCAAACCAGGACTTTTTTTCTTCCTCACCGAAGCAGGACTGCTGATCTGGGAAATCCAAATAATTGAAGATTCATGTATATGTTATGAGACTCAGTGACCCCAGACATGATTCTAGATAGGGAACAGAATGCATACGAAAAGTAAAAATATTAGAGAGAGTAGAATGATTAGCTGGAGGATAACTATTATAGAAAAGAGAAGTTTAATGGATCAAATAAAGGAAAAAGGCAGCTCTGTGTGTGTGTGTGTGTGTGTGTGTGTGTGTGTGTGTGTATGTGTGTGTGTGTATGTGTGTGTGTGTATGTGTGTGTGTAGAGAGAGAGAGACAGACAGACAGAGAGAGAAAGATGGTCTATCAAATGAGAAGCCAGATGCTTCTGTAATCTCTATAACTAAATATGATCCTTATGTGGCTTGAAGGACCAGTTCAAAAGAACTGCTTTTTAATGAACATTTTTTCTTATGGGATGATGGCACTATGTTTTGCATCTGCAGAATCCTTTCTTTTTGCATATGTAGTAAGTGTTAAAGATTGTCTTGAAAACCTGCTCCAATTTCCTCAAACAAGAAAGAACTCACAGAGGGTTTAAAACCACTTTAAGTGACAGAAGGTAAATGCTTACAGTATAATTGACAGATCTGGGGCAAAAGAAAGTAAAAGTAATGACTTATGTTCTATCTTTTACAGTGGTACTTTTGTGATCCATATGCTAATCAGAAATGGGAATAAGGAAATTCAGTTCAAATAGGAAACTGAACAAACCCCTATATTCATGCCAGTAGAGAATCATAAGAGTCAGAGGGATGTTCAGAAGTCATCTGGTACAGGTCTTGTCCTCAGGCAGGACAACTGCTGACCTAAAACAAAAAGCTATTTTAAGTTTCTAGAATTTGAAAGACAGCGACATGTAAAATAAATTACAGTGCTATAAGAACACGATATTTTAGTTTGTATATTGAGGATATTTTGAGAGTATGCTGGAGACTACCATATAACACTGATATTAAGGAAATCAATTACTGTATTTTTCTGTCTAAAAACAACTGCTTTGTTATTTAAAACTAATCCAGATCCAGATTTCCCCAATTTAAATTTTACATCGTCTTAAGTTATAATAAATGTGTTCAAATCATTGCTCTCCATTTCCAAACAAATATATACAGGCTTAACAATTGCAGCCGGTATTACTGTGTTCTCACTTCCAAATTACTGTGTCCCATCTCAGAAAGCAAGCTAGCTCAGTAGGTAGGTTAAGTAGCAGATATAGGTGTTTGGGGACTAAGGTAGAGATTATGCGATGCCATATGAACTATGTACTTGGACTAAACAAATAGCCTGTGCTTTAAGTTTAGAATTTTTGGTCTATGTTGTTGTTGACAAAAACACCATTTTTAATAAAGTAGTCACAAAGGTGAAGAAAATTTAACTTTAGATAGACTAAATCTCTTACTTGTTCCCAACCATCTGGAGACTGATTTTCCTTATTTCTTTTATATCTGGAGTGATTTTAATTCGTCTGAAATTTGACTTATTAAGTCTTCTTCCAGGATAGCCATTTTTCTTAGTCAAAATATTAATTTAATTACAAATTTTATGTCAATTTCATATATTAGATATTTTGAATTGTAATATAGAAGAAAGCAGGAAATAATAAATGATCAGTAAGTTTTAGTTCAGGGATTCAAATGGCTCACACTATGCCTAAGAAAAGTCACTTCTATGAATGTTTAATAATTCCTTACTAGTCCTTTTATGCATATTTAATGTATACATATATAGGCCAGATAAGTTTTGTGTTAGATAAAGGAATCCTAGAACCTTAAGGAAAAATAAGGAATTTTTAAAAATCTGTCATACAATTACAACAATGCAGAATTTATTCCTTTTATAATAGAAAAAATCAAAGTAATTAATTGAATTCTGATTTTAATCATGTTAATATGAGAATAATGATGCCTTATTTTGTTATTTCCTAGACTATTTTAATTTGAATTTAAAATCTTGATATTATTTTAAATGTCAGGATTTGATTTGCTTATGGATTTTTTCCCTGTGAAGTACATAAAGAATGTTAAATTGACAGTTAAAGATGTAATAGTAGTGCTGTTTCCTGTGCCAAAAATATCTTACAGCACCAGTTGACTGACTGTTTACATAATTAGGTTTAAGGCAATTATTGTCATAGTCTATATTTGTCACAAAGTATTATAAAATAGAACCAAAAAAGATAAAATCTTAATAAATATTTCCTGAGCCGGGAAAAAACGTTAAGAATATCAAATTAGCTTTGGTTCTTCTTATAACATGATAATTTATTGAATTGAATTAGGGTTGCCACAGTCATTATTTGAGCAAGTCATTTTTTAACAATTTTAATTTTTAAGAGTCAGGTTTCCATGTATGTCACTGGAGCACAAGTGAACACCCTTATTAGGAATGCTGCATCTCACTTAGACTATAAAATAAAGAGTGGCTGTGAGTAGAATAGCATGTCTACAAACAACATAGAATTAGTCTTTAGCATTTTCTGTCATCTTAGAGGATATGAATACAATTAAATAATTGAGATCTGGCAATTAAATGGTGATTACAAAGGTTCCAGTTTGAACACCACCCGTGAGCAGCAAAATGGTCAAATAACTGACTATAGGAGGGAAAACCAGGATGTGTTTACCTAAACTAATAATGAGCCTCTTAAGAACCAAACATATAACCAAGCTGTATTTATAATTTTCTATGACTGCTGAAAAGATTTTGTGTTTTTATGATTTTTTAAATTTGTATTGTAGCTTTTGAGTGTACACAGCGAACCACAGGATGGGGCCAAAAGGCCATTGAAGTGCGCTCTTTGCAATCCAGGGTCCTGGAAAGTGAGCTGAAGCGCAGGTCAATTAAGAAGCTGAGATTCCTGTGTACTCGGGGTGACAAGGTATAGCTTACACCCTCCAGTTAAAGCAAAAATAAAGCAACCATTGAAAATCAACTAACGAAATCAATTTCCGTCCTTTTCCTTCTGGCTATAAATATACTTGTGCTATATTTTTCAAATTGGCATACTATTGATAAAAAACAGTTTTATATTTTGCAGTAGAAACACTAACTTGGTAAGTGGTAAAATCTGGTTTCAAAAGAAGCCCATTTTGAAAAAATAAGAAAAAAATCTAATTATGTCTTAAGCGAAGAGTACCCATTATTTTATTTGGTTCAAAATCCTTTATTGTCTTTGATTCATAGTGCCTTTCATATTCACATTAAAATGGTATTTTAAACAAAATGCTTGAACAAATCTGCCTTTTACAGCTTTCAGCATAATTCAATAACAGAAGGAAAATGTACTTAGGTTTGCTGAGCACCTAATTGTATAATAGGCCTTGTGCTAGCTACTTTAACATCTATCTCAACTTATCTTCACAAATGGGTGTTAGATTGTGTATTTTGCAGAAAAGAAAAATAAAATCAAGATTTGGCAATTATTTATATAATTTGATCAATTTTAACAATTAATTCAAATAGTTTCCATGGAAAATTTTATTGTACAAGATCATTATCATTCCTATCTATTATAGAAAATACTAGTGGGAAGAAATAATACTAACAGGATTAGGAAACATTCATGTTGAGAAGAGATTGCGGAGGATTTTAGTTAATATCAGAACAGCCAGGATAAAGCACTGTGCATCAAGCAAAGTTGCTAATTTACAATGTAAAGAGATGCAGTGGCAAAATCCTGTGTTTCAGGTCATCGAGACCTAGAATGCAGTCCTGGCTCTAACTGGACTAACTAGGTTGGAGAACTTGAGAAGTTTGATTAATCTTTCTGATCCTTAGTTCCTTCATCTCCAAAATAGAAATATTAATAAATGCTTTGGGAACAATTGTGACAACTAGTGATAATATATAAAGCATCTCACAAATTCTGTGGAACACCAAATATGTTAAGTCAAGGGTGACTAGCATATCTTTTAAACACTTACAATGATGTCTCTTTATTTTGAGATAACATTTACTTACTATGAAATTTAAAACACTGTTTTCATATATACCTAAACTCCTGCATCCCCCTCAGCGGTAGGGCCACAGTGAAACTCTGTAAAGGTTTATGAAGACTTTTATTTAATTAGATATAAAGCAGATCTTAGAAGAGTTAAGCAAGAGCATTTTAAATTTTATTTAACACAGTATAATCACATATTTTTTTCTTAAAATATTATTCATTTTCTTGATGAGTATTAACCAAAGTAACTATGATTGCTGCCTTTGTCTAATAATATTAAATACTTTTAATATTTAAAGTTTAATAATTTCAAATATTTTATTTTATCAAGCAACATGTACGGTTACATATGCTGTAATTTCACAGTATTACAAATTAGAGACTCCCTGCCTCCCTTTGTCGCACCCAGTGTATCTTATCATCATCATTATGTCACAAAGTCTCATAAGTATAGCCAATGTGGATGTCAAAAGCCTTAGTCCTAACAAGAAGGCCTTTGTTTGATATTTATCTGCATTTTTTTTCTAATTTTCTTTATGGCACAGCCCACATTTACACATGTCCCTCTCTAAGCCACTGGGTTTAATTCATTTTATCAATCTGTTGATATCAGTCCACTTTGCTGAAATAGAAAATTGCATGAGTGGATATTATGTGCTCTCACCGTAAAAATGATAACCATGTGAGGTGATGTATTTGTTAATTAACTAGATTTAACAATTCCACAGTGTACATAGAGTTCAAAACATCATTCTATATGTGATAAAACATATATTATCTGTTAATTTTTTTAATTTAAAAAAATGAGAAAAAGAAAAAAAAAGAAAATTGCAATGTCTTCTTAAATAAAAGTAGCAGTGGTAAACAACACCTAAATAATTTGTTTCCTTATATTTTAAAAAAAGCCAACTTGAATATAAGTAGATTATTATTTTAAAAAGCAAATAATTATTCCCCCCAAATAATCAAGAACTTCAGCAAATGAAGGCCATCTACAAAAATATTAATTTTATTTAACCATATAAATTATAACTATGTAGAATATAGTAAAAGGTTGTTTTAAAAACATATAATTTAGACTCTAAATTAATTTAAACTCTTATTCTTTAATTTGAAAAACAAACTGTTCCACAAAACAGTAAGGCTTAATATCTTAATTAGCAGGTGCAGATAATTTAAAATTATAGTTATATCAAATATCTGATTGCAACGTATTAAATATCTACTGACAGTGTCTTTCTTTCTTTTTCAAGCTATTCTTTACCTCTATCCTGCGCAATCGCCACAGCCGGGTTTACTTCATGACGCTTGGAAAACTTGAAGAGCTCCAAAGCAATTACAGTGTCTAAAAGTTTCCAGTGATTTATTACAACATTATAAGCATCATGTATAGGCAGACTGCATCTTCTGATTTCAGAGATCAAATGAGCATTCAGTTTTATTTTTAGTAAAAATTAAATCCAAAACTTAACTTTTAATGTAGCACAGAATAGTTTGAATGAGAAATGCAGCTTTATGTATAAAATTAACTATAGCAAGCTCTATGTACTCCAGTGGTGTACAATATCTTTTGCACAAACTTTGTAACTTTTGTTACTGTGAATTCAAACATTACTCTTTGGACAGTTTGGACAGTATCTGTATTCATATTTCACAACATGGGGTAAAGAAACCTGTTATGAATTAGGTTACAAGCAGCCTTCAAAAGAATTGGCCCTGGGATAAGGTTTTTCAGAAAAAGGAAAACATCGACAAACTGTATGTGATTTTTCCAAAGTTATTTAAAGAACCAAAGGTTTGTCAAGAAACAAAAATTTTAAGGACTGTTATAATCCAGACTAAGGTTGAACAACCTGCATGCCCAGAGAAAACTATGGTGATAAAGGGGAAAAGGCCACCACCCTTTTGCTCACTGATTCATAACAATTAAGCCTACAACTAAAGACCAGTTGTGTTCTTTTCACCCATTTTTAAGCTGTTTTTTTTTTCCTGATAAGAAGAAAGGAAGGAAGCCCCCAGATGCTTGCTTTTTCTCAGAACCCCCAAAAGATGTGCAATAGCTGTTGTTACAAACCACCAAATAATACACTTGTGAGCCTAAATACAGGACTAAACTCCTATACACATGTACTGTAGAATGAGGTTTTTTTTGTTTTGTTTTGTTTTGTTTTTTAATACCTTAAGGTAGATGTCAAATTCTACTCCCCAAAGCAGATAGATTGATTTATAAAAGTTATCTGGCCAAAAGTATGACTATCAGACAGCATCAAATATTTGCCCAATCCAAGATTAGACCACACAAAAGCTTTGTTCCAGTATTAAACAAAAGGAACGAAACATAACAATGAAGAAACTTTGCTAATATCTGTGTTTTTCCTGTTTCTATTTTTGTAAAATCAGAAATTAATCTAAAAATATTCAGTGATAAGTTCATACATAGAGACTTAAAGGTAAAAAAAAGATTTCAAAAATATACAACTTTCTCCATATTTATAAGTTTGCAAAATTAGAGTAGTGAAAGTTATGCTAGTCCATCACCCAAATATGTTATAGATGTCATAGACTGGGGATGGTTGGTCACCTATGGTAACTGCTACCTGATGAAGAGTATAATTTCTACATATCCATCCTCAATACCATGGTTAGTTCTGTGGCAATAGGAAAGCAACAGAACTGCCACAAAGTATACCTCAATATAATTCCTCTAGTTCTGCTTCTAAAATCTGAGGACAGTGCTAGTGGGATGATAATTTTCAAACTACCTGGTTAACCAAAATTCAAAAGCAGCTGACTATGTGTGATTTCATCATAGCACATTTCTTGGCATTTAGTGCCAGAAATGAAGATTTGGATTTTCCTAACAACTTTATATCAAGAGTATGGTAGCTCATCATTGAGAATTTAGGAAAGCCCAAATCCATGAACTAAGGAAATATATGTGACTCACATTTCTTTTACTGTGACACAATAATGTGATCCTAAAACTGGCTTATCCTTGGGTGTTTACAACTCAAACAACTTTTTTCATTCAGTAGTTTTTTAAAAAACAAACTTTCATGTTGACTTTTTTCTAGAAGTAGTCTTCATTATTATAAATTTGTACACCAAAAGGCCATGGGGAACTTTGTGCAAGTACCTCATCGCTGAGCAAATAGAGCTTGCTATGTTTTAATTTCAGAAAATTTTCTCATATAAGTAGTGTGTAGAATCAAGTCTTTTAATAATCAATTTTTTCATAATATTTACTCAAAGTTAAGCTTAAAATTAAGTTTTATCTTAAAATCATATTTTAATACAGTAAGACAGAAAACTATTTTAGGAAGTCAACTCCCATTGTACTCTGTGGCAATTATTCCAGTAAAAATATGCAAAAGTGAACTGAATCTACAAAGACGTCCCAAAGTAACCAAGCAACAGAGATTGCAAATGATAAACCGAGCTTTAAAGGATAAAGTGTTAATAAAGAAAGGAAGCTGGGCACATGTCAAGAAGGGAGATTGAAATGTTAGGTAAGCATGTAGAAAGGACAGAAAATATTTAAAATGGCTTATAAGTAATGAATATTGCCGATTTCGATGTAAATCCGTCTGGAATCTTTACATCCTTTGCCAGCTGAAACAAGAAAGTGAAGGGACAATGGTATTTTGTGGTCAGTTTATTTTGTAAGAGACAGAAGAAAGTATATCTATACATTACCTTGTAGCAGCAGCATCTGGAAACCCCAGCCCATCAAGGACGTGCAGAAGGAAGGCTCCTGACTAGACAATTTCCCTAGCCTTGTGATTTGAACCATGAACATTCTGGCAGGTCATGAGCAGCACTAGGGATAAGGTATGGTTTTATTTTGGTATAATTTAGTTTTTCAACAAAGCCCTTGTCTAAAATAAAAGCCATTATTGGAAATATTTGAAAACTAGAAAATGATGGATAAAAGGGCTGGTAAGAAAATTTCTGAGTGATTGTCAGTAGAAGTAAGGTAAGATCCCCAGAGGAAACAGTAAGAAGGGATAACCATTAAGATAGTAAAACAGGCAAAGCAGAATCACATGCACCTACACACATATACACATAAACATTGGAATGCATAAGTTTTAATATTTTAATGCTATCAGTTTCTAGGTGCATTAATTACTTAATGTTCTCTCCCAAGATTCATTTAGTTGAAACAGTATCCATAAAACTAGGAATAATCCCACATGCATTCAATGGGATCTTTTAAGTACTCTTCAGTTATTTTAACAAATGTGTCTACTGAAATCAAATTAATTTGTTTCCAATGTGTATTCTAAAAAAATTGAAACAATCTTCAATACTGCTAATTGTTTGCTCAGAAAGTCTACAATGAATCATTGTTTAACCTTGAAAAATAAAAATTTTATAAATCATTAGTTGATGTAATTATTGAAATATACTTCTCTGATGCCATAGAATTAGGACTTACTCAAATAATATTCTTCTCTTTAAAGTATATAATAATGATCTAATTGGAATATGTTAGGAGTTCAGCTTGTTGTTGCATTTGGAATTCTGGCCAAAGAGGGATATATATATATATATATATATATATATATATATATATATATCTGATTAAAAAATGCTTTTGGGCTATAGTGGTGAAATTGGAAACTGAATAATTTTCCTCTAAATATATCAGACTTTACATATGGGCATAGATTCACATGGTATGGGTAAAACTTAAGCAAGTTCCGATGTTGCCTTCCCTCCTGTCCCACCCCAGTAATTTTCAAGTCCAGAGGAGAGGAAAGGTGAAGAACTCTATCCAGAGAGTATCTTTCATTTAAAAAGGGGTTTATTGCAGGCTGATGGTGGAATACAGAAGATGGAGTAATCATGGCAAGTTTTCAAAGAAGCTTAGTCCTTTCTTTAGGATCAGAAGAACAGAACCTCCCTCAGCAGGTCTCAGCAGTGGAGTATTAAAAGCATAGTCTCATCCTGTCATCTCTTTTGGAGAGGTGTTCATCAGATTTACTCCTTACAGCCTACTGGGTATTGTCTTAATTTGGTCTGTGTGGCCAGATATTCTGGAGCTGGGCTACCTGAACACATCATGCTTGTCCAGGACGTTAAAGGCTGAATTCAAAATGTTTCATTACAATCAAATTGTTTTACTCAACTTTATTATAGGGTACACTGACTTCAAGTTTTAGATACAGTGTTAGGAGCAAAAGAATAAAAGTATCATCACAAATTGTAATTAGCTTAGACAGGGTGAGTCCCTAACTCTGAGAAAGGGCATTATTCTGGGGACTCTTTACCAAAGCATGGGGACAGGATAGGTCTTGACTAGAAGTTGTTAGTTATTTGTTATTAGTAAATTTATCACTCACAACATGGGCAGTGGGGTCTAAGGACTTCCATGCTGCAAATCCATTGATTGAATCCTTCTTTAACACTAATTTTCATCTGATATAATAGCATTTTTTGAAAAAAAAATATAGAGCCCTAACCCTTGATTTAAGAATACTCAGGAGTATGGCTCCTTTTTCATTCCAAAAACTGAAAGGTGGCAGCTAATGAATTAAAGTCAAACATGTTTTAGAAATCAATGTCACATATCACATTTTATGTGGCTCACAACCATGTCAACTGACCTAAAAATAATAGTTCAAGAAAGAGTAAAAGGGATTCTATATGGATTTGCATTTTCGGAAGCTAGTCCACACCCTACTTTGTAAATATATACAAAAATAAGACTTGGGATTAACCATTTCTTACAGTTTGCCACCTCATATGTCAAAGTCTCCTGTTTGATGCTTAACATACAGAAATTGTTCAGTAAAAACATGAGTTGAAGGGCAGAAATGGGCCCTTTTTGTTTTGCCTGGATTGTCTTTGGTGCTATTGTATCTACAACCACTTAAAACTCAGAAATCCATTTGTTGTTTCATGAAAGTATCATCTGTGTTCTGGTCTGGTGACTAAAATGTCAGGACCTATTTTTGGTAATTTCAAAAGATTTTACCCCACAAACCTAAAGTGAAACAAACAAAAGATAGGTCAATATAGACATTGATCTTTACTAAATTTTACTTACCTTTAAAACAACACATAAGGGCCACTACAACCCTTCAGTAACTACACAAGGCTCATAAGTAATGACAAACATTGTTTAGTAAAATAAGAGCACAAAAAGTAAACAAACCATTTAACTGGCTGTTTTATGCAGACTTTTGATTTGAATGTGATTCTTTTTCTTAAGATTAATTGTTTATGTTGCATCATCCTGAGATATATTTAAAGGCCTTCAGAGCTTGTCAATATAGTTTTTCATCTAAAATTTTAAATTATGTTCCTATAAACAGCTAGATATCAGGCATTCCCTAAAGGCATGTTTTGTTTTGTTTTGTTGTGTTTTGTTTACAGTTGAGTCTGTCTGATTTGCAGGTAGGTAGGTACTTCTAAAATGCATACCAAATGGAATAATCTATCCAAAAGTCTGAAAAGTAAGCATGCAACACCATAAAGTTGAGTCTCACAAGTTTAAGTAATTGAAAATGAATGGAATGAAGTTCAAAGTAAATTGAACTCCAAGAAAAAGGAAAAAGCTTTTCTCCACAATGTAATGTAAAACTTAAATTGTGTTAAAAAGTTGGGGAAGTATGGGCTTCATTTGATCCGTAAATGAATGTGTGGAATCCAAGCAAACAAAAACAGTTATTTTGATTCCAACGCCCATCCCACCAGTCTGGGGGAAATTTAATTTTAATCATTTCTCTTTCATTCACTAGGGTTATCAAAAGATCTCAAGTATCTTTTATGAATCAGAAAATTCAGGGGTGTCCTCCTAGCATATAGTTTACACTTGTCTACATTGATGCATTTATTGCTCATTTAGTCTTACAGTGGCACTGAGACCTCTTGAGGCATGTGTGGCCATGGAAGTATTTGTCAAGACAGGGAGCCCAGACATCTAGGGTTATATTCACTATTCTCCCACTACTTTCATTGGTGCTGAGTGGGCATGGGCTCCTGATGCTTTAAAAACCATAGTTCCCACTGTCCTTTCCCATGCTAGTGAATCTTCTCCACCTTAGGCTCTTGTATTTCTGTACCACTCCATTCAGTACAAAACGCATTTACCTCTTTCCCTTATCCTTTAAGAATGGCCTAATGTGCAAAATAAAATCTAGCAGGAGGTTTTCAGAAAACTTTTGCTTTAGGTTGTACTATGTAACCTCTCTACCCAACTAAGACAAAGGAACCCTCCATGAATTGGAGGAATGGAAATTCAGTGAGAACAAATGAAGACCACAATTAATTACGCTGTTACCTACACATGAAAAAAAAATCAAGAAAATGTAATCAAATAAATTAAAACTTTAAAAGATGAGACATTATTGCTATTGATGAGTTAGGCTAAAAATTTCTTATCATCTCTTACTATCTCCTCTATAATCTCCTTAGTGCCCTTATTCTTTCCTCTGCGTCATTGCAGTTTCCCAATAATTGTCCCTTCTTACATCATTATCCCTCCTTTCTCCCTAATAGCCCTCACTTTTGAATCTATTACTATCAGACTATATTATCTATTATGCCTCCTTGTTGCTGTCCTGTATAGACCCACACCATTCCTTCTTCCTTTGGTCCATTTGTCATGCTGTAACAAAATACCTGAGACTGGTTAACTTATAAAGAAAAGATATGTATTTCTCATACTTCTGGAAGCTAGCAAGTCCAAGATCAAGGTGCCTGTGGGTTTGGTTGTCTGGTGAAAGCTGCTCTCTGCTTCCAAGATTGCACGTTGCTGCAACAACTGGAGAGGATGAACACTGTGACTTCACATAGCAGGAGAGACACAAGGGCAAAACAGGGTAGAAAGGATGAACTTACCTTCTCAAGCCCCTTTGTAAGGCACTAATACAACTCATGAGGACAGAGCCTTCATGGTCTAATCAATTCCTGTAGGGCTCAACTCTTAATATTGCTGCATTGAGTACTAGGTTTTAACATGAATTTTGGAGGGGACGCAAATATTCAAACCATAATACTGTTACAGACCACAGGTTCTTAGACTCTCATGTAATAGAAATTGACACGAGGTCCAGCATGTTTCCCAGTCAAGGCTTTTTAAAAGGGTTTTTCTCCAAATACAAGGGAGCCAGCAACGGAGTTAAAGTTATCTGGCTGCCTCCCCAAGGGGAGTACATTGTGGCGTCTTAAGGAGATGATAAGCATAATTCATGAGGTAAGTGAACTTTACAACATGATGGGATGGAATACAGGGTGCACAAGAGTAGTAAGGAGTCTTGCTAAACACATATATCACATGATTAGAAAATGGAAGATGAGCACCTCTTTGAGTGGAGAATTGGTATTATAGTGAAGCAAAGGGCAAAGATCTATCATCCTGGTCTTGTGCACATGCAAGTGATAGGGTTAACTTCTTTGAGTGAAACTTATATCTGGAGGTCATTTGTTTTTGACTTCTTTAAGGTTCCCCCAATCAAGGATATGGCACCTTTAATAAAATTTATAGAGTGGAGGGAGCACAGCTTACCTTAGTTTTTAAGGTTTTGAGGTCAACAAGGCTGGGACCCAGAAGAGGCAGGATTGAAAGGTCAGGATTGTCTGGTTGAGGTCCCTACCAGCTTGTAGTCGAGATTTCAGGGATGGGGGTTGTGCTGGTGCTTCCTTTTTGCAGGTTGTAGGTGTGGGCTGAAGCCATCACCTGCCATTGCCCATGACTGTGCCATGCTCAACAGTGCTAGTCCAGCCAGCAGTGGTGACATGGGGCCCCACAGAGCTGTGCACCATGCTTTGCCCAATTCCTGGCTTTAAGCTGTATCCCTGCACCCTACCAGAAGTTTATCATTCTTGTTAATTTCAAAAACAAAAAAACAAAAATTTTTGATTTTTTAAATTATTCTTTTTTTTTTTTTCAAATCAGTATTTATTTATTTATTTATTTATTTTTCTTTTTTTTTTATTGCATTTTAGGTTTTGGGGTACATGTGATGAACATGCAAGATTGTTGCATAGGTACACACATGGCAGTGTGCTTTGCTGCCTTCCGTCCCCTCACCTGTATCTGTCATTTCTCCCCATGCTATCTCTTCCCACCTCCCCACCCCCCGCCCCTCCCCCATTTCCCCCCAACAGACCCCAGTGTGTAGTGCTCCCCTCCCTGTGTCCATGTGTTCTCATTGTTCAACACCCGCCTATGAGCGAGAATATACGGTGTTTGATTTTCTGCTCTTGTGTCAGTTTGCTGAGAATGATGGTTTCCAGGTTCATCCATGTCCCTATAAAGGACGTGAACTCATCGTTTTTGATGGTTGCATAATATTCCATGCTGTATATGTACCGCAACAAAAGCCAAAATAGACAAATGGGACCTAATCAAACTCCACAGCTTCTGCACGGCA